TCATCATCACATAGTTGGCTATGGATGGTTCCTCGGCCGCTAAACCTTGGTTGCAATCATATAAGCGGCGTGGATTTGCAATTGGTGTAATGTTGTGTTCCATGGAAGTCTTGTTCATACAAAATAAAATGAACATATAGTGCCAGTAGGAATTCACTATGGCTCTAGGTTTGACGGAAGCAATGGGTGCGATCGACAAGACTCTGATCTCGCCCATCTGTCCTGGACCTTTGGTGATTACCTGCTGTCATCGATTCCCCCGTTGGATTCCCCATTTTGAGAAGTGCGGTGGAGTGATTATCTCCAATTCCACCAGCAGCCAGGGCATCCTATACCAAATTTTCCATGTTCAGGATCAACGGTTATAACTCTCGAATTATTCGTCACGTACAACTGTCTCATGCGGCACAATCCGATGGGGAAGGGCAAAATATCGAGGAGTCGGTCCATTGGAGAGCTTTCACGTCTCATCCCTGACAATACTATGGATGGGACAATGCAGCTCTCTTCCATTGCGGCGTTTGAATTGAATGATGAATCTTTCTTACAAAGGACCACGACCCGTAGATGGGGAACACAAAACCGTCTGCGGGTCCGGGCCTACCAGCTAACCATATGCAAGGTCTCAGGTCAATCATGACAGAGATGTGAGCTTGGGCTGAACTTATTAATCTCAAGAGGTAGAGTATAAGGTTGCAGAGCATTCACGTACTATACTCTACCGCACTATGGAGAAGGAAGTGTGGCCTTCTTCAATTCCCACGATCTCCGGAGGTCCCTACTGAATTTTCACAACTCGAATCTGAACGACAGATTTACCGTCTTACCGTGTCGGGTTTTATGTCAACCATCATACCGAAAGGTCTCGCAGAACAAGATGCTGGCCAAAATAAAGCGGTCGTTCAAAAGAAAACAGAAAAGAAAAAGAATGAAATCCGTCGTGTTGCACTCCGATTCAACTATTGGAGACAATTAGTCTGCGAAAGAGATCAGAGCTAAGAGCAGGAGATTGTTGCAGCTTCCAACGAATGGAGCTGTCAATATCACCAACCATGGTTTGCAGAACAAGATGCAAGCCAAACTACAAGATATTGCCGCTGTCTCTGAACAAATACAATACGATTCTACCTGCAAGACTTTGCCATCTGAAATTCATGTCTGAATCGCAGACTGGTGGGATGTAACGGAGCGGGCTCAATAGGGTAAAACGTATGGCATAGAAAACTAACAAGACGTGAGCTGAAGAGAAGAAACTAATCTACAGGGGAGCAAGCCCATATTTATGTCTGCGCAGGACCTGCTCCAGGGCATGCTTCCTGACGGAGCATGCCTGCTAAATCCGTACAAAGATCCTAAACAAAAGAATACAACAAAACCACCAACAAAGCCTTTAGTGAAGCTATTCCCAAGACTTGAAACTCATAGAACAAAGATTTTCAAGGGTGTCCTTGGTGTCGTAAACCCTCGCCGCCTAAGGCAGACCTCTGAGTCAGATCCGTGACATGGGATCATTGCAGTCAACACATGTCGAGCGATATCCAAACTGCTACGATCTGCCACCAGCTCGACTATCTCATCAAAGATGTCCGCCTTGCTAAGAATTGTTCTTGGAGTTGTTGGAGTTCGTGTCGAGTGAGTTATTCTTCCACCTATATCAACCAAGTCGAACGGAAGAGACTAACATAACCGTTCAGATCCCCCCACTTCACTTTGAGAGGGAGGACTCATGGACATATTAGAACCCCAATATCATACCGGTTCCTGGCGTGAATGGGTGACCCAATATTGGAGAGCCTCTTGGGATTTCATTAAACGCCACAACGTTTATAAGGAACCGATAACTTGTTATTATGAAAACCGTTATTACATTTCAATGTTTACACCTCTTCAAGAGACTTCCTACGCAGCAGCGCTAGTATTACTCCATCCGCGTCGTACCAAGAGGCGGAGAATTAGGTATGAGGAATGTAATGACGGAACAAAACATGAAGTGAATTCGACACATCACTGCAACCGCCAGAGCAGATCACCACATAGATCGCTGACGGAAGCGGAGGAGAACGAGAACTGGAGGCTGAGAGAAGAGGTAGCAGAGCTAAAACCGAGGTCGAGAGAACGCCACATCAAGTTTCGGTATGCATTTGCCATTGCCGAGGCTGGTACCATGCTCAGGAGTAGAACGTATACTTGTAGGATTTGGGTATATGATCGAGACATTAATTTTCCGTTGAAGAATCAGTTGCGAGACGTTCGATATACCAAATCATTAGCTTATATTTCGGTTTCCACTATCACGTCTTCACAGTCATGCTTCCACAATCATGATGGGTGACAGTCTTCGGCCACACCAACAAATATTATTGCTGTCTTAAGGCAATATTTCGAGACCAGTCATTCTCTATTCGCGAGCTACCATCAAGATTATATGAAGTGTCTAATGAAGGACAAGGTTACGGCAAATGCCTTTTTAAAATGCAACATACGGCCCACTCAAGATCGGCAAGTCATTTCATATGAACCTCTTTGCAAAGGAAATTGCTGCATTCGGGGACCGAGCACAATCATTTACTGTGCGAGGTATCACGACTGTCGAAGACTTATACGCCCTTTTTGGAACTGAACGATTCCACTGAACGACGACTCAGAAGCAACCTTAACTTGTATCCGGAGAGAAGTAAGCCGAAGCCAAAGCCAGTCCGAGACGTCCAACATGCCATATCATGCCTGGTGGCTGCGTCTGTTATCCAGTTTCCCGTCATGTCTTTGCACGTGGTGAGTGGAAAACATACACAGACATACGGTGTACCAGATCATTTTCTGGTGTCTGTGTCTGTTGTCCAGTTTCCCCTCATCTTTTCGACTTCATGAAAGACGGTATACGTAGCAAAGACATTCGGTACACCAGATCATTTCTGGGAAATCTGCGTGCCCAATCATGTTTCCACAATCACGAAGGACGGCAAGCCATCGAGCATGAAGCTTCGCATGTTCAACAACACTCCGGAAACCCCTCACAAGAGGCGGTCTGGACAATACGTTTATAAAAGCCGAAGAGACAGGCAGAACCCCATACGGAGATCTTTGGAAGAACTGCCCGAAGATTGAAACTATACGAAAATATCATGATCATTTTCCATAGTATCTGGCGGGGTTCCGTGTATATTAGATCATTAACAGGTATATGAATAGAAAATATCCCGAAAAGTCATGTATTGAGAAGTTGCATGAACTTATAACGATGAAATAACATATCAGACAAACTACTATCATTACTGTCTTCCAAATCCGTAGTAAGATTCCCATACAATGAAGATATATCAATCCATTAAATCAAATAAAAAGAGTTAAGCTCTTTGGTAACTGCAAACGTCGATGCACTTATGTGTTTCACCCTCATAAGCGGATGACTCGAGCAGTTCCTGCAGATAATATGGAACTGTCACGAACCACATCAACTCAAAGTTGACGAGCCAAAGGCCCATTAAGCACTATATCGAACTGGCGAGAATGCGTATTCAGAACTGATACACCAATGCTGAAATCCACAGAACACATCATTATCCAAATTTCTTCGTTCGCGACCCAGTCCGAACGAACCTCTGGTCCAGCTTTGGACAATTCGACCAAGAACATTTCAAGAATTTCGAGCTATTCGTCGGGTAGGAAAATAGAGCGTGTATAGTACTCGATGCTTCTAAATGGTCAAAACGATCAAAGGGGCCGGAGTTGAAGTCTCTCTTGTCGGAGATGAATTCGACATGAGCACTCCGCATTGCCCAATTGAGATTTCTGGCATTCATTCATATTTCACGCAGCGAAAGCCGCTAAACCATCCCCTAGCATCATTACATGAAGCAAAGATAAATGCAAATCCACAGAATGGCCGGTAGTAGAAAACTCAGTGCCAACAGGAAATTCGACGGACGAGGTGGTCTTCGAGCAGGGACAAACTCCATCTTGATTATTATATTGTCCGTGTCTCCGTGTCTCCGTGTATCTTCTTTGGTGAGTTGCTTTAGTTGAAGATCGAGAAGAAAAACGAACGAGGACCTTGAGTGGTATCGACTTCGGACCGATTTGAGGCAAGTTTCCAAGAACAGGACGCTGTTGACTTATAACTTGTACCAGAAGTACACCCAAGTTGTGAGTGAAAATCGTAAATTCAACAACTCTGAGAGGGATCAACTTCTTTTATACGATAGCATAGTCGATACACAATGGCCATACTAGAAGGCGGTCATCCAACCTCGCAGGACTGAAGTAGATATAGATAAGAAAAATTCATTTCGTTCGTCCCTATACACCATGTGATATGCCAGGCAACATTAGCAAGTAAGAAAAGAGGGGGCGAAATTGACTCTACATTCGGGCCGGGGTGGTCATCCATCTCGGAAACCGAAGGGGAGTGGTGGCTTGCATGATCCATTAATAAGCATGTTTGCTTTCTTGCAGAAGCTATATAAGGCGCCTAGGTATGTAACCTGTACGGGTATGTGATACAATAAACGGATTGTATGCAGCACTAGGGATATGGATTGGACGGAACAATAATATCCTCACGAATAGTATTGCACTTGATAGCTGAGGGAGCCTGTTGGAGATATATACTGGATGCACAACCTTGGAAGTGTTATGGAATCAAGTACTTGATGGGATTAGGCCCGCAGTCATGTTAATTTCATTTATGTCGATGCTCAGGAGCCTATATTGGAGGGAATCACTTTTCTTAACGGACCTTGAAATATTCGTGTGGACTTGTTGAATACATGTCTGCGCGCAGAACGGTGCTCATGGATATTATGCATGTTTACTCCAGCTTGATGGACGAATTTTGACTCACCATACTATTATTAAATCTTCATCGAGTACCTTTATCAAAATGATGCCATACATCTTGATAATAGGGCAAGCTTATTGGTAGTTGTTGACCCGCAGTACAGAGGTTCTGACTTCTCTCCGCTTTCTGACTCACATCAACAACATTCCATTCCCTCTTCCTTACAATTCACTACTGAACTGTTGCCAATATAAACTTCTTTATAACTTCTCAATCAAGACTCCACATTTGCTGGGGCCCCTAAAAAGACAAAATGGAACCAAACTTCTTCCCCAAACCCACAACCCCTCAGTCCAGCAAAACCGAACTCCAAATCGGAGGAATCAAAGTATACATTTTCGGTCTCGCACAAGCCAAGGAACAAGGACACACCGATCTGGGAGTACTATACATTGCGCACGGAAGAACAAGAACGTATCGTGATAGCGAAGGATTGGCGCATGAAATTCTACATCAGGTTCGATCTGATACTAAACCCAAAAAGGCGGGGTTGATTGTCGTTGCGGTTGATGCGCGGAATCATGGGGAGAGGAAGGTATAGCATATTTTTCTTTATCTCACAGATGTATGGAATGAGAACTGATATTTGCAGTTGAATGAACTGACGAACATGGGATGGAATGAAGGAAATGAATCCCACGCGTATGGCCCCCTTTCTAGAACTCTTAGACTTATCTAACCGTCAAAAGACAAGACATGCTCTCCTCTATCTCTGGTGGTGCACACGACTACGAACTCCTCATAGACTATCTACCCACCTACCTCACGGAATTCAACAACTTCTACAACTTCATGTCCGGTATTTCCCTAGGAGGCCACACATCCTGGCGCATAGCAACCTCCTCCGTCGCGCAAAGGGGGAAACTTCACGGTCTCGCCATTATTATCGGATGCCCGAAACTTACGTCTTTACTGCTGGCTCGTTTAGGAGTCGACCTGGAAGCTACAGCAAGTAAATTTGACGTCTCTGAAGATTTGATTCATATTATACCGTATGATAAGCTATCGACTATATTAACTGAGGAACAACAACGACGATGGCCAAGGGCACTTGCGAATTTGGTCACGGAAATGGATCGAGTGACTGAACAAGCGTACCCAAGGAATATTCCGACGTATATTCTAAATGGGAGACTTGATCCGTTGGTGCCGGATAAGTTTACGGCGCAGTGGGTGAAGCAAAGGAAGACGGAGGGGTATCAGAATATTGAGTACCTTGCGCAGGAGAATACGGGTCACGCGTGTACGAATCAGATGGTAGATAATGTTTCAGGGTGGTTGGTAAGGATGCTTAGGAAATAGGGGTGGTATGTATATTTCTATGCGATCTTTGTACATAGCTGGGTTGCTATCTCCATAACTTTACTGTCGGTTCAGGTTCGTCACCTACTCCGTTGGTACTCGTGTAGAGATTATCGCATATACACACCAGTGTGACCACAATTCATATAATCTGCATCAAATCTGAACATGCTAGGTGTCTACATGTGATCCAGGTGTCCACCGTATACGCATGACACGCGGTAGCTAACTGCCAAACCCTATTCTCTCATCTGGTAGTTGTTCAAGTTCATCCAGGCAAAACCCATCGACACTATCTCCATCCCTCAGTTAAATGTCAAGGCATTTCTAGCAACTGATACCGATGTAGCCTTGAAGATATATATCAGTTCCGCGGTGTCTTGGTTAGATACGTCTTCCTACAGGTAACTAATTCTGCTGCGATTACATTATCCGAAAGCAAGACAGTTAACTACCGAGTATAAGAATCCATCAAATTTGATTCATTTACCAGCCCAAGTAGTGATACCCAATATCTAATCAAGCATCATCAACGACTCGACCAAGAAGATTCAAATACCATCCTTCGCATCAACCAAATCCCTAACCCTCTTCAAATCCGACGACACAAGAGATCGAATCCATTCCTGCAACCAATTCGGAAACCCACGAATCATAGCACCTACACCAACACGATCGGGGATACTGATCTGTCCACTGTTCCCACTCAGCACGTGCTCGACAATGATTCCCGCGACATCTTCGACATCGAGCATGGGCTGTTTGAGTTCCGCGCCGGAGTCGGTGATGGGTTTGGTCAGGGGTGTTTTGACCCAGAATGGATGGATGATACTTCAACAGTCAGCATTATATATCCAATGCAAGTGAAAGAAAGAAAAGGGAAAGACCTAGTCCGAATTTTCTTGGCTTTATACCAAAACCGAATCTCCTGCGTCAATCCTTCATGAAACGCCAACGCACTCGCTTTACTACAACTATAATCCACCATCTCGCCCACACCTAAAAAGCTGCCCGCGCTCGCAATGGTAACTACATGGCCATGATTACGCTTTATCATGGCAGGCAGAAACTCGCGGACGGTCCACCAGTGAGCCAAAGTATTGACTTCGAAGACGAGTCGAACCACGGATTCAGGTTTTTCGAGAATTGAGCCTTCTTTACCCACACCAGCATTGTTGATGAGGACTGTTGGATCGCCGTGGTCAGCACGGATTTGGGCACCGGCTTGTTGGATGCTGGTTGTTGATGTGACGTCGCATTTATAGAAGTAGACGTTTTTTGCTGCCTCCATTAGTCTGTGGACCGCTCAGAAAAGAAAGAAGGGAGGGAGACGTACGGAGAGGGGTAGTAGGTTCCTGGATATCAGCAACAATCACCTTTACGCCTCGATTCGCCAGTTGATGTGCAAGGCTTTGTCCGATTCCACTACATCCTCCCGTCACGAGGACGATTTCCCGGGACCAGTCGTATTTGTCTGAGGTCCAGTTGTTGAGCACAGAGCGAGACAGGGCACGGTTGAAAGTTTTGAGGAGATACAGGGCAAGGACGACGGCTAGAACATTGCGTGTTGTCGACGACAGCAAAATTCGTTGAGCAGATGGATGGAGTTTTTGGAGGATGTCTTGACTGAGCTTTTGGGCTGTGGTGATTGCGTCCATTTTGTCTGGCACCCACCCACGATCTGGGGAATGAAGATAAGAGAGGAGGGAAGAAGATGGGCAGGTATTTATGATGCATGGATATCTCGAGACATGGGTTGAGCCAGGTTGAGCCTCGGTAGCGTCTGAGTGGGCACATGGTTAACCCATATGTAAGTACACCTGATCTGCAGATCAGCGTTGTTGGGGTAGTTGGTCTAAAAGTGTAACTATTCAAAATTAACAACGATACTGCTATACATAATCTAGCTGAAATGCATACAATCTAAATATATCGTCTTTGTTGGTCATACCTATTACTAGAAATTTTTCTTATAACCAACAAAGATGATACGCATATTTATATTTCTTTTAACGCAGTCAACATCTATTTGATAAACGTGGATTTGCCCCGTCGCCGAACGTTAATTGGCCTGAGCCGAGGTCCGCACGTGCATCGATTAGGGTTAGGGCTGGATCAGGCTGACGATCATAAAGACTTCATTAAGATTGATTCTCATTGCATGCATACACAGATAAACATTTATCGCACGGTGTATCCACCGTCAATGACAAGGTCGTGTCCCGTGGTATAGGTACTGGCATCACTGAGCAAATACACATACGCACCCTTCAACTCCTTCGCATTCCCATTTCGTCCCAAGGGGATCATAGAATTCCACAAATCCTGCGTCTCCTGAGGCACAAAGTCCGAGAGACCGGTATCAATATAGCCGGGCGAGATAGAATTGACGCGCGCAAAATCGCGCCATTCATTAGCCAACGACCGGGCGAAATGAATACATCCGGCCTTGGCGACGTTGTATGAGGTCTGTTCCTGCGGGAAATTGGCAATGTGACCTGACATACTGGCCGTGATCACAAAGGATCCCTTGCCGCGTTGTTTGAAATGGGGGCCCACGGCTTTGGCGCAGTGGAATGTACCCGTCAAATCGGTCTGGATAACTTCTTCCCAGTCCTTGACGGAGCCATCGAGGATACCCTTATCAGCGGTTCGGCCAGCGTTGGCGACGAATCCGTCAATGTGGCCGAATTCTTGAATCACGTCCTGGACGAGCTTTTGCACGTCCTCCCATTTTCCGACGTTGCATTTGTAGGCCTTGGCTTTGATGCCGTATTTCTCGGCGAGTTCGCGGGCGTTCTTTTCGCCGCCTTCGGGTCGTGAGGCATAGGTGATGGCGACGTTGGCGCCCATTTCGGCGCAACCGCGGGCTGATTCGATGCCCATGCCGCGGGGGCCGGAGGCGCCGGTGATCACGATGACCTTGCCTTTGAGGCTGAAGAGGTCCTTGAGGGAGTCGGCGGTGGGGACGGTGACGGGCATTTTTATGTTCTGCTGAGAAGAGAGTAGAAAGATGAATGGAGATGTAATGTGTTGTTGATTGTGTTCTGGGTAGATCAGATGAGAAGGGATATACCGGAATATATATACACATCTCCCCAACCATGGCACACAACCCCGCCCTTGCTCTCTACCCAGTTAAAGAGTCCAAATGCAATCGTCATGATTGCCAAATCAGGAAATCCAGATCCACCACCAACAGCTACAAGCATCGCAGCAAATCAGGTCGAACAACAACTGGATTATCTAACGCGGTCCTAATCTTTGTCACAATTAGATAAGACACCATCCGGACTACTTAGGCATAGAATCCATGCCACTGTTAAGCAGCTCGCATGGTGTCAAGGGAACGGATGTACGGGCACGGATTGCTCGGATTTGACAGCGATGACTATGAGGGTACTCGTATTAGGTCATCCAGGCAATGAATCAGCTAAGTTAACTAACTCGAACAAGCATCGTGCCATTGTGAATAAGCCAGGCTGAGCTGTTCGTAATCTGTGACTAAGCAAGCGGATGCGGGGTTAGGGCTAGAACTCATCCGCTCTTAAGTTAATTCCGGATACGCGAAGCAGCGAATGAGATATATGATAGATAGTAGGAGTAAACAAACATCCAGTATTCATTCACTATACCATAACCCGCGCATAAGCACGTCTTCAAAACGCCATCCGATATGTATATACACAATCCAATCCAGAAACTCCGACATCCTCATCCGTGTTTTCGGAGGATGTAAACCTGGTTGCCCAATACCCGATATAATAACATGGTCCACCCAAATTGTAGCCGGAAAAAAAAAGAAAGAAAGAAAGCAAGAAAACAAAATAAAATAAATGAAAGTGATATACGCGCCAAGAAAGAAACAAAAAAACGAAAGATGGTCAATCACAACGGATATCGACTTCCCGCATGCTCAATCACAGGGGTCATCCGGCCAGTTCCTCTACCATACCTGGATCCCCCTCCGCCACGACCTCGACCTCGCAAGCTTGAACCAGGAAGCTCAAAATCTGGGTTTCCTTCAAGCAACATATCCTGCATTCGCGGTCCTCGATTCGCCGTCGACCCCGGTCCGGGAGCAGGAGGAGGTGCTTGCCATTTCGGGTTTATAGGTCGTTCCGATATCGAGGTGAAATGACTGGTTTGACTTATATCGCTAATAGCTGGTGAGCCAGGTCCAAGATCACCGACATTTTCGCCAGGGATTTTCAAAGGTGGTGGTAGTGGTGGTGATGGTGAAGAGTGAGGTATCTCACCAGCTGATCTTCCTGCCATAAGCACCGAGGGTACGCCGCCATTCAGGGAGGGTGGTGCGGGATCCTCTGCAAATCGTGGCTCAATATCTTCATAGTAATGACCACTTGATCCTCGACGTGCGTGAGCGGGACTATTGTTCATGCCACGCTCGGGACCGCGTGTCCATGCAGCTCGCGGTGGTACATAATGTCTACTGGCGTTAGTATGAGTTTTCTCCCTTTAGACGGATAAACTTACTCGGTGCTGTATACACTGGTCGGACTTGGAAGAGACTCGTTATTAGAAAGTCGCTGTGGTTCGGACGTATCAGCTACATTGCGAACACGTAAATTCGGCTCACTGAATTGTGGCATCATTTCAATTGCACCAGGGTCGCCCATTTCAGGTAGATTGGGCTGTGAAGCAGATAGATTGCGTACTGGCCCAGGACCGTAAGGTCGTGAGTAATTGCTCGAATTGCTGCGTGCAGGCCCGTATGGTCCGCCATCTGATGGTCGACGGTTCATTCCTGCTCCATACTGGTCATATCCACCTGGTCCATCACGTCGAGGAGGATATCCTGGGGGTGGTCCACGATTATAAGGAACGGCTCCAGGAGGAGGAGGACCTCTCATTCCACCTCGCATAGAACCACCTCGGCCGTTTGGTGGGGGTCCACGTCCACGACCGCCATAAGGACCAGGGGGTCCTCCTCGTGCATATCCACCTCGAGGAGGATAGCCACGACCTCGTGGTGGCTGTCCAGGAGGGCCGTATCCTCTTCGAGAGCCAAGACTGCCATCGGAATATTGGTTCTGCAAAGTTCGATCAGAATTCGACATCATCATACCCGCTTCGACAGCAGCTGCTCCCGTTACTGCAGGTGGCATGGGGTTGCCGTATTCATTTTGTGGTCCTTGGTAACCCGGTCGCATAGGTCGAGCAGACTGATGGTAGAAAGCAGTGTCATCTCCACCATTAAGCAGAACTCCTGATCCATCCTCGGTCGTGCGACTCGAAGCATACGTTGTAAAAGTAGGGGCCGATTCTGCATGGGAATTCGCGCTAATCAAAGGAGTCTTTGCGTCTGTATTCATAGGAAGAGGAGGCGGAGACTCTGCTTTCGGGAGTTGTGCTGCTGCGGCTTCAGCGCGTTGTCGGTTGTAAAAATTCTCGCCGCTCATCTCTGCATTCTCTGCCACGAGCTTCTTGCGGGCTTTGCGACTGACGAGTGTGCGACGCATGGCGCATGTGACGACGCCGCATGCAACAAGAATGATTGTCGCAGCGAGTACTATCCATCCTCCCCATTGTAGATGCGGTACGAAGAGTAAAATATCAACTAAAAAGGCCAGTAGACTGACCAAAACCGTCGGTAAGAGAAGAATCAACAAAGCGAGGAGGTATCGCGGCGAATGAGATGGTGAGTGGAGGTGAGAGGTTAAGGCCATGATAAAACAGACTAGAGTGAGAAAAGCGGCCACGGGGTGTACGATCAAAATGGCGGACAGGGAGTTTCGAGCGCTAGAGGGGAGGTTAAAGTCGCCATCCGTGTCTTCATTTGTGCCAAAGATGTTTTCTAAAAGCAATTAGTATAGTCCGCTTGCTAGGAAAATGAGAAAAAAAAAATACCAGTGTCGTATCCCACCCGAGCTGCAATACATTGCGATCCTCTACAGTATCCGAAGACCCCAAAGTCGACATTCTGATAGGTTGCTAACGGGATCGCTTTGATAACCGGGGTCGAAAGGGTAGACAGGAGTAGCAGCGCAAAGGCAGCGAACAGTAGCACGGAAAGAGGCGTCGCCGGTTTCAGCAGCATGGCAGCAGGTAGACGAAATAATATCGAGGGTAGTTGTAGACCAGACTGCGCAGAACGAGCGACGAGGAAACGAGAGACCGGACACTGCTTAGGTGATCATGGAGATGGGAGACATTGGAATGGTACGGCAAAATATCGGCTCTATGGGATTGAAAAATTCGGCGATATTTTGTAGAAAGTACAGCGCGAGTATGAGATTGTAGCAGTGTTGGATAATGTCGAAGAGAGTCGAGACCTGGAGACGTGGAGACGAGGCGGAGATGAAGGAAACGGGGTAGCGAGCGGCGACGTCGAGCAAGACGATAGAAGGTATGAGTTATTTCGCAATTGGTGTAGTGTTATCTAGACTGTCCGACTGAATTCTTGACAGAGTCAAGAATGTCACGATGGATTGGATGTGTCTGGAGTTAAGATTGGAGTAATGTCTCGACTTCTAAGCGGAGCAGGTGGCACTATTTTCTTAGTCTTCGCAGTGGATATGCGCCCGCCAATATCTGTCCAGACACTGTCGCATTCACAATTTGGTGGCTGGACTAACTGTCAAAGCGGGACAATGTCAAGATTAACGGCTGTCAAGATCAAGATAGAGATTGCGAGTCAATTGATGATATCCAGTTGATTCAGCAGAGCATCTGGATGGAAGATGTCCCTGAAGCTAGGGAGATGGGTCGTGGCTGGCAAGCTGCCTCGAGTTTCACCATCCGTTGATCAGTTTCACGTCTCAATGTAGCAATTGCTTAATTGCGAAGCTATTGTGGCTTGCTCGCCCCTTGGAAGATAAGACGGTCTTATTTTTGAGTGGGAGCCAATGAAGAGGCAAATGAATGAAGGGTGGGATTGAAAGAGAATATAAAAGGGTCTTTACTTAGGGATTACCCTAACCCTGGCACTGACACGTGCGATGACGTCGTGAAGCCAGGTCAAGCTTTTTGCGCGCTTTGCTCAGAAGAGATCTGATCTTCTTTTCTTTTCTTTTCTTTTTTTTTTTCTTTTTTCCCTAAATACTTGATGCCTTCCATCATGACTCCTCACACTGTGATGACTGGATACAGTCATCGACAAGCGGACCCTTGACAACATGAACGACCCAGGTCTAGACCCTGCCATCACCGAAACAGCCAACGAGGTCGAACATCGCGCGCAAGATGGCTCCAAACAACCAGATGAACGATATGTCCATTGGACGTCGGCAGACCGAGAACTCGAACAGTTCCTACAGCCGACAAGATGGTGGTATGCCAGTAACGAGATCCCGTTGGTCGCTGCTACCTTTGGCCCCATGGCCAATGCTTTCAGTGTCTGCAGTCTGTCCCAGAAATGGAGAGAGATTGTCACTGACGGGGAACCGCCATATGCCGGGCAGCCACTGGGCGACCCTGAGTGGGAAGTCGCTATCAATGCTGTATCGCTTGCGGCGGCTTTGTTTGCTAACATTTGCTTGTTGTTGACCATGGCGCGCAGAATGTCTTTCAACATGGCGCTCCCTATTGTCATTGTCGGATGGTATATAGCCTCTGTGCTTTTGATTATTAGTCTTTCCATAGTCGGCCGTGACACGCAGTCTGCAAAAAATGCAGGTCGGGGTATGCAGATGACAGAGGCTTATTACTACGGGTCCATTGCTGCTGGTCTTTATTTCATCATTGCCAGTTTATTAATTATCACTGTCTACGGAGCGATGAAGGGCCATTACAGTCGAAAGTTCCACCTGAGTCAGAGCCAGAGGACGCTGATGATTCAAAACATTGGGTTCCTAGTTTATGTGCTTGCAGGATCCGCCGTTTACTCATACATTGAAGGTTGGCGATTCAACGATGCTGTGTGGTGGTCAGACTTTACTATCCTGACTATTGGCATTGGCTATCCCTCCCCGTCAACACATCTAGGGCGCAGCCTTCTATTTCCATATGCGTTTGGTGGTATTTTGATCATTGGTGTCGTCATCGGATCGATCAGATCACTGGTCTTGGAAAGAGGGAAGAGCAAAATGAGCAGTCGCTTACTCGAAAAGACACGCAAAACATTTTCAAACGCAATGACTACTTCTGGAAACAAAGACCAAGGAGTCCTCAAAATCTTCCCAGTAGTCGAAGACGGTGCCGAAATGGACGAAGAGGAACGCGCCAAACGTGAGTTCTTTGCAATGCGTAAAGTCAGGCATCTAGCACATACCGAACGTCGCTGGCTATCTTTGCTCATTTCCGCAACTGCCGTGGGGATCCTATGGTTCGTCGGAGCATTGATATTTCAACATGCGGAAGCAACGCAGCAATGGACATATTTCGAGGCGCTGTACTATACCTATACCAGCCTTCTTACAATTGGTTACGGGGATGTATACACCATATCAAACTGGGGACGAGCGTTTTTCGTCTTTTGGTCTCTACTTGCCGTACCAGCAATGACTATGTTTATTTCGAATCTCGGAGACACCTTTATCCGCCAATTCAAAAATTTTGCAAACTTTATCGGTGAATTGACCTTTCTTCCTGGCGATATGGGTTACCGGGAACGCTTCAAACAGTTCTTCAATGCGGAGTTGTGGCCATTCACGTTCAATAAACCCAAGCTCAAGAATCCATCAGGCAACAGAAATCTAAACGACAGTACCAATGCAACCATCGAACGCGCCGAGTCAGCCCTGGAAGAAGAACAACTCAGAGAAGAGCACGAAGCACACCGCCAAGGGGACGTGATCGCCGAAAACATCCATCACCACCAATACCTCCTGATGCGAGAATTACGCGAAATGTTCAAATGGGTGAATGCCAGTCCTCCCAAGGAATTCGACTATAACGAATGGGTCTATTTCTTGAAATTGCTTGAAGAAAATAAGTGCGTCAAGGATTTGAAACATGCCAATCATGGTCAGGATCAAAGCGAGGAAACTAAGTGGAGTTGGATCAGTCATCGAAGTCCGCTGTTGGGTGATAAGTCAGAGGCTGAATGGTTGTTGGAAGCATTGGCTGATAAACTTGAGCGGGAGTTGCTTAAGTTGAGTGATGAGTATCGGCAGAGGGAGGATGGGAAGTCGTATGATGATAAGAGCGGGGAGGATGACAATCGGCAGAATGGAAAACAGTGTATATGACTTCTTCTTGTCTCATATGGTCTTGATACCGCAAAGATGTAATTTACGTGTATGTTGCTCTATCCACCACATGACCCCTGAGTTTGGTCTGGATTCTATATCAAAGCCCCAACTCCGTGATTCACCCCCTTCTGAGCCATTATTCCATCGTTGGTCATCACCACTTTGCAAGCATCCTCTTGTACCTAGGTAGTCATGTCGGCATTACCGGGAGCTCTCTTGAGTTGTCGCTGTATCAGGCGCCCGGTTACCGCTCTGTCGATTACCCCTGATGTAGTTATCGATGAAGAGTCACCAGTTGACATTGTAGCAAGACAAGACAAGGCAAATTGTGGAATATGAAAAATGGAGAAGAAGATAAGATGAAACCATTAGAGTGGTTGCGTATCAAAACAGGATGTAAATCTCGGAGAAATTCGTCTACACAGAGAATGTTGAAAAGCCTAGAGTCACCAAGAAATTGCTGCAATTTGTAGATGAGACCAACGTGTCAGGAATACGTAGGTAAATAGCAGGCATCCAGAGGGGCTAAGATTAATGACATTTAGGGCAAGGATTCGATAGAGGGTGCGGGTGATCTGGAGGTCAGGATTGGCAAGGAATAGGGGGTAAGAGTACTCTAGTCGGGAATCGGAAAGCACATTGGTGTATCCACTGGCTTGGAACTATACAGTAAGAGATCACTACCTACAGGGATAGACCATTGGAGCGATTCGAAGGTCCCTGATGTTATCCACCATATAGGGACGAGTCAAATATTACCAATTTATACCCGCAAGGAACTAGTTGCTCGGGCTGAGCTCCAAACCCTCTAGGACTTATGCCTGGGGGCCTTTCCAATGCTGCTTAAGGATCCGTCTTAATTCTCAGCGCTGGATGGATGCTAAATATGATCAAATTATAAGATACGCTCGGGACCCCGCTGCGCGTACATGTAGCCCAACAAGCTAACTAACTAACTAACACAAAGACCTTTCAAAGCTGTATCACAAAATTTCGTTCACTCGTTTGAAACAAGAAGGAACGTTGTAAGATTTCCAAGTCCGTATATCCAGTTAGATAAACCTTATACCAGGCTATTTCCTTTTAAGGTTCGCCTCCATGTCCACAATGGGTATTGACGTGAACTACCTTAGTCTTGATATAGGACCTCAAGATCCTGACGCAGACGAACAGAAGCAATGTCCCATAAAAGCCAATGATGTGGTGCTAATCCCTAGATCAGACACTACAAACTGGGCTACTTGGTCTGTCTCGTTTGACGTCACAATGCTTTCGAGCCCATAGATATTGCTTGTATTGTACAATGTTGTATCCACCAACGAATTGGCCGTCGCAATATATCCCGCAAGCACCATCCTCTGCATATCGTTGAATATACTCGAAGACTTTGCGTCGAAATAAGCGGTCGCCGTATTCATACTAGACGCCAGTGAAATTGAGTTGAGAGCAAGTACCACGTTGACAACTGATGGAGCGCCCATTTGCGCAAAGAATACATCTCGGAGAGATACTGGAAATTTTAAATCTGGGAGAGACAATAGATTCAATGTCCTCTCGCTCTGGCCCTTGTATATCCATTCATCAGACTGCCAGCACGACAGTCCCGGTCTTTCGCGGAGAAGATTAGAGGTGGTGCTGTGTATGGTGTCCATCGGTGGAGTTCCCGTGGCATTCGTGAGGCACCAGGGTGAAGCTCGTGCATTGCATAGAGCTTATCATAACGGCGTATGTATTGTTCATCTGAGGTGGCTTACTTGAGATTGAGCCATAGGCAAAGGGCGTATAGCCATTGTACGCATTTGCCCTAAACAACTTTTCGGAATCCCCGAAGATGAAATAGAAGTCAGTTGGGATCCGCCCCATGATATTAACGATCTGATACCAGCCATATTCAGTACGGCATGAACCCTGGACATTCAATTTCAAACCGTGAAAATTTTATAGGCTGAAGTCTTTAGGTGTCGGGCTGTCATTGTAGTCGACCTTGATAATCTTCTCCCTGTCTCTAGACTTTTGCAGCGTCTCTGGAGTGACAGAAACTTTGGCCTTCAATTCATCGCTGGCGGTCTCTACCTGAGTAATTGCACGTAAAAAACCTCGCCTCCATCACAGTTTCTAGCTGTATTGTATACACGAGATCCGAGTCGTTCCCATAATACAAGACATTTTCAGAGGCGTAGATCTGCACCGGGCTGAGCAGACCATGGATAGCAAAAACTGGAATGAGCCTCGGGACAATCAGTATCGTCGTTCCGATAATGATCGGGAGCATCGTCTGCTCGTGTCTCTTGATAGTCCTCCGCGACTGTGACATCGCGCTTCGGTAACTACCTCCACCACTGTTCGAACGTTTTACAATACTTAATGCTATTTCCGTCGGCTCATTCTCATAAAGTATTTACTCGCGAAATGAAGAAAACCTAACGGCGACCGGTTTCCGATTGGGACAAAGACAAGAACAAGGAGTTTAAGTGCTTGAACCAGCATAGTTGTAAGCAACAGAGAATATATGGAGTTGGTACTGTCCCCCCAGTTCTTTGTTACTGCGAAAGCAGCTTCGTGGCCGTGGGATGTCGGATAGTAGAATACGTGCCGGCACATAGTAGGTAGTAGGTACGTGTTTCGATGTTTGGTTTCAGCGGAATACACCATGTTTCTTTTCTGTTTTCTGGGAAGATTATCCTGGTAGATGAATCATGGAGTTGGGAGTGAGATTAGATAGTATCTCAAATTCATTGCAGAAAGTGGGAGGTTTATAGTCATTTCAGGAGAGGTGCTAGCCCTAACTAGTTTCTAATAAAGATACTACTCACGGAGATTTGTTAACTAAGGCAAAAATTCTTGTCTTTGATTGATGCTACGTAGCTACATTATCGGAAGCAATTTACTTGGATTCTTTGTGCATATATACTCGCATTTTCTTTAAAAGACTCTATTACTGAGGCAGGCATCATTACCGTTTTCCAGCTATCAGAACCCAATCATATCATAGAGGAAGAAGTACCCTTTAAAATACGTGATATCCTGTCTAGATAGAGTGGTAGCGTTTGAATTTCGACCAGATTTGGTCACGTCTTGGGCCCATCCCTGCTAGGTTGTAGTCGTAGGATAATGATTAGACTTCTTAACGTCTACTTGAAACCATTCATGTCTGACATGCGATCCCCTCCCCGGCTCCCATGATCTAGACTACGACATAAAATATGTGACGTAACTATCCTGATTCTAGTTCGTCGATTTCTGAGGATTCGGAATCGTTGGTATACTTCACTTGATAGCTGGGGAAGATCTGTGCCCATTTTATAGGTAATTTCAGCCTCACGCAACGCGCATGCAGGGCTCAAGATTGAGTTCCCCACAATTCTCCCTTCTAGTGGGACACTCCATAACAACTTATACATGTCAGACTTTGATTCCAAGGTTGTTTCCTTATATGACTGAAAGCGATATTGTATACTCCATGCACAGAGAGATTTCTAACAAGCCTAGGTAGGAAGGAAAGGCTTCTCGGAGGAATATGAGCCCAATACCAACATTGGAATGAACCCATCTTGTACCTAGGTAATGTCACGGTCCAATTGGAAAGTATGAAGATTCAAAGTAACATATGTGTAACTAGTTTTGTCTTCCGTTCGTCTACCGTAGTTTTTGATCAGGGCTACTCCTACACAATGACATTTCACATACACACATTTGGCAGCTGATGAGCTAACGGTCAAAACTGTAAATAGCACAAGCACTCTTTTCCTCTGTTGATGCTTGTCAATTGGGTTTTATTTTATTCGGAAAATGGGTGGTAGATAAGACGAGGCTGAATTTCAATACCTAATTATACACCTTTAATCACTGAGTAGGTATGGTTAGTCCTTTTCCTCACCATTTACTTGGATAGTGTGACGGTCAGTGTGTGTGTGTGTGTGTATATATTTAACGGCCGTGGTTCGTGACTTGCACGCTTCCCACCGATCCCTACTGGGACATAGGCCGCCGAGGGTTAAGCCTCGGGCTTCAGGTCCTATCAGATTTATATACAAATAAGAGACTCTTTGGCGCATTTCCATAGCTGCCGTGGTCTTAAAGGGAGATCCACTTCCTAGTGGGTTTTGGGTATTTGCCAGCTGCAATGGTCCACCTACGCTCTATGACCCATCATTCTACCACCATCATACTTAAGCAGTGAGTTTGAAAAGAAAAAGGGAAGAAGGAAAGAAGGAAAGAAAGAAAGAAAGAACGAAGGAAAAGAGAGATATAAGGGGGAAGTAGGGCTGACTTAGCTAGGTGCTAAGGAGAGGTTGGCGAGGACAGATATCCTCAAAGAAACGGGTCTCTGCTAGCCATGAGGCTAGTTTTCGTGTTCCTTTCGCAGTACCTAAAAGAAAAGAGATAACTTCAGAAGGGGGTCTAGGTAGACGAGGAGCTCGTCTCTTAGCTATATAGTAGAAGAAGAAATGTAGAGGTGCTTTTCATGCTCTACACCGACAGAGAAGATAAGTATCATCATGATTAAAGCGTTCATGGTAGTCTGCAAAGTCTCCATGACCAGTACGGGCCACAATAATATGGCCAAGGTCAAGTCGGTTGAGTTGAAGCTCCCCAGGGCGCTTAGGAGAAGTAGTTATTTCTAGATCTTGATAACTCTGTGGTGCCACCTTCTGCCATTGTGACTGAGCAGCGGATAGGGATTGAGTCTTGGCGTGTCTCTTTAGCGAGGTGTATGAGGATTTGTGAGGAGCAGGAGGGGTTGAGGCAGCTCCCTCTTTGGTAGTGAGATCAGCCGCTTCGTTCTCAGGGATTTTAGCATGTCCAGGGACCTATCGGATTTAGATTAATCCACTTTTGATGTGTGGAAGCCTTTCGCGTAGTGGCTAGGCAGCTGCAAGGGTGCGGAAGGATTCAAAGACCTCTTGGGAGGATCCTGTAGAGGGGGATAGGAGGCGCGTGGCAACTTCCAGGTTGTCAAGGCAGATCTATAGGTTGGTAGCAAATTGAGCTGTTGGATATGTTATTGCTGCTTGAGCACTAGCTAGGGCAGCTTCTGCTTCTGTGTCAAAGACCTCTTTCCTATGTCCATATGAGAGTGAGGAGCGGAGGAACTGATGGTGTGCTTGAAATCTAATATAGCTACCCCCTGCACGTCCATCTATCAGCCTAGATCCATCTGAAAAGATTACAATATCCGAGCTAGGGATGGTGCGTTGAAAAGCCGTGAAATCAGCTGCTGCCTGTTCCTTAGTGCGTCCCATAGGAGCTCCTATTTAGGCTAGGGCACTCTTGCGTGACTCACGAGGGTACTAGGGAGTATGTTGTAGAGGGTTTATTTGTTCAGAGTTAGGGAGCGCCAGCACTCAGCGGGTAAATTGACTGGTTTGTCGGCCGTCTCTGGCTATCTGTTCTGCGCGTCTTCGGAGTGGGTGGTATGGATTAAGATGCCGTAGGTGGACAGATATTTGGAGGGCTATTTAATCTAGTTTAATTTCTGGCGGAGAGAATCTAGACTCTCGGTATAGAATAGATATTGGGGTTGTGCAGAAAACTGGAAGGACTGCTCTTGCGCCTGCTAGTATTACTTTAGTTAGTTTCTTAAGATGTTCTCCAACTCGATTTGAGATTTGGGAAGATCCAGGGTGAGTACGTCCTAGCCACCAGGTTTCTGCGCCATAGTATGCTTTATGGAGTACACAGGTTGATATAGCCTGCTATAGTAAATGAGGTTTGACTCCACAGATAGTATTCCCTAGAGAGCGAAGGGCATTAGCCATAGTGAGGGCTTTAGATGCTGTTTCACCAACATGCCATTTAAATGTTAGCTTTTTGTCAAAGAGGATTCCTAGCCAGCGTAGATATAGCTGTTTAGTATTTTCTGAGATTATGATAAATCCAGCTTTTACTGAAGGTGTGCAGGTTGGGTCCTGGTCTGCTTTATATTGGGAGAAGTGAAGAAGCTCGTATTTATCTAGTGCAAATATAATGCCCTCTGCAGCGCCCCAGTTTAGAGCTTCTTATAGTGAGTCTGATAATGCTTCGCAGTTAGTAGCAAGAGATATTGAGATTGCCAGGTTAGCTGCGTCGTCTATGTAACCAAATCTGTTCCTTGGGTTTCCTAGACAGAATAGGGGCGCTATGTAGAGCATGAAAAGAATGCTAGATACTGGGGATCCTTATAGAAGACCGCAGGCAATGTCTGTTGAGGGGCCAATCTCTCCATCGAGTCGGATCTGGACTGATCGCCCAGTAGCAAAGGAGGCAATCCAGAGAACAAGATTAGTGGGCCAGCCCTGCTCACGTAATCTGCGGATGAGTCTGCCGGGAAGCACGGTATCAAAAGCGCCCTTAACATCTAGGGTAAGGAGTGAGGCAGTCATACCTTGATTTAGTGCTTGTTCAACATCATGTGTTAGGCATGTGGTTAGATTATTTATAGATCTTAGTGGGAGAGCCCCAAACTGTTGCCTTGCTAATACTTTATAGTGTATAGAGATCCATGCCATATTCTGTGCCACCAAGCGCTCCAGTCCTTTGCCAAGTACTGATAGGAGAGCGATTAGTCTGTATAAACTAGGTGAAGACCAATCAGTCTTTTTTGGTTTCTGGATAATTGCTAAGATTGTATGTTGAAAGCATTTTAGGTAATAACTAATCTTTAGGCACCCTTGGTATAACATTAGTACCTTGTCCTTGATCAGAGGCCATATCACTTTGAGTATGCAGGTTGGGATTTCGTCTAAGCCAGGGGCTGTGTTTCCTGCCTGAAGTACTGACTCCTCCACCTGTGCCATTATTATATCTAGGAAATAGAGACTAGTGGTAGGGACTGCTGGGGAGTCCAGCGGTATGTCTTCTGCCTTAGCCAAGTTTTGGAGAAGATTATGGACTAGTACGTCTCGTTTCTCATGTATAGTAACTGCTGGGAAGCTGTTGGGTCTCAGTAGATCCTTTAGTGGAGGGCTTTAGAAGGTGCCTGTGAACTTATGCCATTTACTCATATTGAAGACATCCTTCATTTGTGTTACCGTAGAGAGCTTATCTCGCCAAAATTGTCATTAAGACCATCTAGTTATTCTGCGGAAGTCTGTCTTTGAGCAGAGGCCTAAGCGGTAATTGTGTAAAGCTTTCTTGCAGTCTTCATTCCACTATGGTTGTCCTATGCCTTATGTCATGGTCCTCTTAGCAGAGCCTCTATATGCTCCTTGAATTATAGATGTCAGTTTTTCAGCAAGGGCATCAAGATCTTCTTCTGTTGCGGCTGAGCTCTCGGTGCCAGCGAGATTAGAGGCGAGGAGCGAGAGGAAGGAGGTGTGGTCTAGTGTGTCAAATCTCAGTTTCTGAGCTGTTTCCTTGTATCTCTGATCCCATAGTACAGTGGTGATTAGTGGTTGATGATCTGAGGTTGCATCTAAGTGGCTCGCTATGCTAGTTTTAGCTCCCGCGAGTGCCAGAGGGCTTGAGGCGAAACTGAGGTCTAACACGTTACCCCTTTTATGTGTGGGACAGTCTATGTCAGAGATGGGTACTAGACCCTGGAGGTCCAGCTAGTTAATGAACGGCTCTGCAGAAGGTGTGGGGCTGCGATGTAGCGAGGGCTGCCATCTGTTGTGTAGTAGATTGAGATCGCCTGCGAGTATCGTTGCTTGAGGGAAATATGCCTCTGGCAGGGTTGTAAGAGCTTTCGCGGCTTCGCCTGCTCTGATGGAGCCTGCTGGGGCATTATAGATGTTAACTATCAGAGCAGACTTTCCTGTAGGCAAAAAAATCTGTAGGAATAGAAGATCCGAGGCCTCTTTGGTGTCAGTTGTGAAGGGGTGCAGCTGGGAGGTCCGAATGCCCTTCTTCTTTCAAACATAAGTGAGGACTCGTGGTTGGCCACTTATCGCCCAACTGTCAGTTGGGGAGAAGCATTCATATGATGGATGTTTTTTGGTGATCTGTCGGCTAAGATCTTTGAATGTATATGGTTCTTGGATTAGGATAATATCAATATCGCTTATGTATGCTAATGTGAGAGCTATTTCATGTGCATCTGGCGCGTGCCCTACATTTAGCTGTAGGATTTTAAGAGGCGCCTTTTGAGTTAGATAGTGATAGATCATAGCTCCCGTTCAAGAAGGGAGGCGAACCGATTTAGTGATTAAGGGGTTGTAAAGCGGACTGCGCAAGCTGTAATTGGAGGATCTTCAGTTGGGGCGTGAGGTGGAGGGGTTACTGAACGGAAAGGAGAGATAATCTCATGGGTTGGAGGCTGAGTTGGCATCTCGTCTAGTGTCATAGGTGTTTCTTGTATGCCAATGGAGAGCTGAGTGCTACATCCTCCTTCAGTTCGAGCTTTTGCGAGGTTAATAGCACAGGATTTCCGGATCTCTGCTTGTTGAGCTTTAGTATGTTTAGAGTTGCTTTTAGGGCGCAGGAGGCATTCTGGGAAATCAGCAGGATGTGGTCCATGGCAGTGTATGCATCTAGGAGGGCACTGATGAGGCTCCAGGGCTGTGCAGCGGTTAACATGTCCCTGTTCAGTATGCTCTGAGGAGCCGCAGAGCCGGCATCGAGAGGGGCGGGCACAGGATCGTGCATTATGCCATTTCTAGCATCGTGTGCATTGGATAACTGTTGTTCTCTTAGAGAGGTGACGAGCATTGGTAATAGTGCTAAAAAGGTGTAGCTGGATAGGCAGTGGTGATTTCGTGCCTTCTGGGAAGTTGACAAACCAGCTTGAGGAAAGAGTATTAGGGTTAGCGGCACTTGTAGCGGTCTCGCTGATAGATATAGGCTTAAGTCCTGTAGTTTCACTGATTTCTGAGGATAGTAGTGTAGGATTGACAGGGATTAGAGAGTATTAACCGTCCAAGATTTGGCCAACTTTCCTTGGCACATTGGTGACTCAGTACGAGACCCATCGGGAGCTGCGTTCTATCTGGCAGTTCACAAAGAATGCAGAGATAATCTCTTTTTAGGCCTCAAGGGTTAGGAGGGCTTCTGGAGATGAGGGACATAGTGCAAAACCAGTCTTTATGGCTTGAACTTCTTTTAGTGCTGAACTGTTTGAGTTTAGTTGAGACCATAGGCTAGAGTAGATAGCGTAGGCTTCCATTTTTCTAGCTGCATGGTCAGCTGGGAGGCGTACGAAGAGCCGGTTGTCAGGAAGGGGTTGTTTCACCAGAGGCATAGGCTTTTTAACATGGGCTTTGGAGTGAGTAGTAGGAGTTGATTTGACCGGGGCATATTGGGTAATAGTCGCATAAGTCGACTGTTCAAGACCTGGGAGGGGACGTGAGGGAGGGGTTGAAGGGGGTAAGGAATTTGGAGTAGGGGAAGGGGAAGGGGAAGGGGACAGGGCAGGTAGAATGGAGGTCGTCGAGATACCGCTGATATAGGCGCTAAAATGTCGTTGGGCTACTAAGGCGAGGTCATCGCTTAGAGCGGTGAGGGCTCTTAGTAGGTGAGGGGCCAGGCCGGTGGTTTGGCTGCGGTGTTTATCGAGGAATGCAGCTATAGGGCTGAAGATCTTCTGTCCTTCAGAAGCTCTTGTCGTGGCTGCGGACGTGGATTCCAGTAGGGCTGTCTGTAGAGGGCCATCTGTACCAGGGCCTTTACGCGCCATAGTGTTGCCGGACGCGTTGAGACGCGTCAAAGGCCGCACTTCTGGTGGCTAGGTGGTAGAGAGGGGTGAGGAGTTTGGGCCTCTGACTGTTTGATATAAACAATTGTAGGGAATTCGTCTATCTGTGGGGTCAATGTGACGGTCAGTAATGAGGTTAATGTGACGGTCAGTAATCCCAACATCCCCAGGGACACAGTGTGACGGTCAGTAATGAGGTTATTCGCAGAGTTCGGTTTACGTAGTCACATGCTAGGGTTACGTAGGGGGGTTCGTGATTCTGTCACGTGATCACGACAATACATCTTGTTTGCAGATAGCCTCACATTCCTAGCTTTTTCTTTCTTTCTCCATGTTTGGTATTCTTGTACTTAGCTTCCAATATGACTATTGAATGAGCCCTTACAGATAGTAGCTTATTATAATTCTGATACTAGAACGGACGAGTTCAACGAGCCGCCTGGACATCGGCTCTACTTTTAGAGCCATTATTGTAGAAGGGAGTTGGCTAATATCCGGGCGGTTTAAGCCACGTTAGCATACACGAGACATACGGTATATCGCCCATGTGGTTTTCTCCGAGACTCGGATTTAAGGCTCTTTTTACTTGCTTTTAGGCTTTTTAGGTACCATCTGTAGCTTTTGTAGCGAATCAGAACATTTGTCCGGTGCGGTGATATCCTGCGCGCCCTATGTGGTAATAAGCTTGGATACATAGGTATTGCAATTCCTGAAAAGTCAGCTAACGCAGTGTTATATCATATCCCTGTGCGATTTTGAGCCGCGTAGCTAAGGAGCGCAGACATAATGACTATTCATGAATGGGAAAGATGTGGTAAAAAGTGCCGGTTACTCGCATGTGACAAATCTATTTGTACAGTTGTAGGCTTAGGGCTCCTGCATAACCTTCCGGGTCCGCAATATATCGCCCCCAATGCACTATTCACAGTATTCTCCATTGATACACCTCCATATATTTGTCTATATGATGAGAGTTCTTGTATTGCTTTTGCTTTCTTTCTCCTGTACTGACTTCAGGGGTTAGTTACCAACCTACGCTGATTTCCAGAAACTGCTTTTCTCACAGGATCTACTCGCGAGCCAATTTGCAAGCTATTAGGGAGACGCCATCGAGAGAACTAATTACGATAAAGAAGCGGGATCAGAAATCAAGCTGGTGACGCAGAGCCTTCGTGCTTTATGTGTGGAAGTTCTAGCCACTGCACACGGTGTTCCGGAGTTCTCAGAGGACAAGAAACAGATGGCAGTGACAGACGAAAGAAAAGGATATAACAAGCTAGAGTCCTCGTTTATTGTAAACCTAATGACTCCGATGTGGCTATGTTTTTTTCTTCATCTGATGTAGATTAGCACAATGATGACCAACGGGGTGAGTAATCCAGAATCGAACAACAGAAACAGGAACATGAACACGAAAAACAAACAACAAAAACATACTGAATGCCTTCTATGTTGAAGCAATGATCTCGCTATTTTCATTATTATTGTACAACTTTCCAGGGATATTGGTCCTTGGAATATTATTTGGGATCCTTTCCATGACCACCATCCAATCCTTTGGAACAGCGAGACGGAAGAGGCTACTCTCATTCCAGTGTCTGTTTCTTCTTTTCCTTATTGGGCTTGATTATCTGCCTTATAGGACATACAATACAGTTTCTTCCGCTTCTTCCTCGTTGTCCTCGAGTACGACCACCAAGTTACCGCTCGGAGTCGGCGTTCGGGCTGACATTGTTTTCTTAAGTACCGTTGTCGAAGTCACGGAGACCGTTCCGCCGCTGCCTATTACAGCAGAAAGTGATGTAAATGCACCTGTTGCTACTAATGCTGCTGTGGACCCTGACACCGCTACGAATACAGGTATGCCGAACTCTGCAACTGCATCAGAGCAAGTCTTACAACCAACAGCATCTGTAGGGGGGCACGCCAAGGTTGAGATACCTACTACGACAATAGCTATCTCACTAGAAGGGCCATCAGAAACTGGCACTCAGGTAGCATCTACAACTGAGCCAGGCACAACTCTTGTATCAAGCTTAACGGGAACGAATATTGCTTCACTATTGATGCATAAATCTGCCCCAACAGAGACTACCCATGGGAAGTCACCGCCAACAACAAAATCGACTCAAACCCTGGCTTCGACTGATACTCCCCAGAAAAGCTTCCCAACCTACGCAACCGCTATAGCCTCTGGAACTGCCGTAATAGCAACAACTGGGATAGGAGCAGCAATATATTTTATGAAACGTCGCCGCCGTGGTCAAAAAACTATTGACCGCGCATCAATTCGCAAAGTAGACACTGCTGTCGAGAGACCGAAGTTGTTATCTGGCCGGGATAATGGAGATTTGACCAGTTTTGAAAAGCCGATAAACATTGACCAACAAACAAATTGGGATAGATCAATGACGCCACCTGATCCTGAGGAGTTACGGAAGAACATGATGGAGGATAAGGGTAATGCGTGGAGGAATAGTAGAGACGGGCCAGAACCGGTAGATTTGGGGATTGCTTATGTCCCTGCTGCTGCTGCGTCTACTACTTCGTTTTCTTCTAGGCAGAACAGATTGTCGTCAGCTACGCCGGAGGAGCTCAATGGACGTGGAACACCACAGCAAGAGCAAGGGTATACTCACGAAAACACATCACATACGTCAATGCCAACTGAGCTCCTCCCCGTAATGCAACCCTTGAATATCTCACAGCAACAACCAGACCGTCGGCCACCCACTGCTGAAACTATAAACAGACAAGACACAATTTCACCTTCAATTTACTCTCGTGACAGCGTAGCTACTAATATGGCTGATCTCTACGCCAGGTTGAATACTGGTTCTAATAATAATTACGGCAATAGCAGCGGCTATCATACGAATCTGCATACCATCCCTGATGATCCGGTTCGAGAAGCTTTGTACCAGACTGATCCGTATGGTTTACAGGATGAGAGTTCCTCCATTTATCATCGCCATCAGCAACATGATTTTGGAGGTGGTTCTTTGAGATCTGAGAGTCCTCGTGGGAATGAGGCTTGGGGGCGTGGTGCGGCTCATAGGGCCAGGTTTGGATATAACCCGTATGATCAGGGGTTTGATGCGGCATGATTATTGTCTTATTCTTCTCTCTCGCCGTCTCTTTTTCGAATCTGCGGATGTATTATTATCAATCATCCTGCTATTCAGTCTTCACTTCATTTCCCCTTCCAATGGCTTTGGTGTTTAAATTTGTCGTTCATCAAACCTCATTTCCTTCCATATATTGGTGGAATTCTTCTTTGCTATGCCAATTATCGGGACAGTATTTGTTTCCTCGTGGCAGTTGCTTTTTGTTCGTTCATGATGCCCCTATTCCGGTGTAAGTTGGTTTAATTCTTCTGGTGCATTTCAGTGGCGTATTTTCTCTCTTGATTCTCATTATTCTTAGTATATTGTAGGTTTCAAAGTCAAATGTGATTGTCCTTGTTCGATTTCATATTGTGTACTAGATACAGAACGTACTTAGATACGTTAGACAGTCTCGCAATAGAGAACTTAAAGTTATATAGCAACAACATCCCTCTCTTCAACTCCATATTTCGCTTGTGCCATCGAAACTGTATGTGGTTCCATGTCAAATAGGATAAAAAAGCCCCTGATGAATGGATCTCCAAGAACCCGAGACCCATTCGGTCCAGGACTAAATCCGAACGAGCAAGCCTCCTTCCCATCAATCGTGACAGTCTCATTACTCGCACCCATTTATGGCTCCACGAGTTCACTCAAATGAATCTTGACCAAGGGACCCTCGACACTGGGACCTGGCTCTAGATAGAGTTGCGCCTTTTCACCTTTTCAAACCACTTTGGTATCTCTGCTTCCAGTATGTGATCCATGGAGTCTGGACTATCAAAGATCTCAGCATGATTCAAGAGCCATTCAAAGTAGGCCCATCGATGCGACTCTGGTACTTGAAAAGAAGACCCGCTTGATATTCTCAACGAGAATCCCCTGGACCGGCCTTCCACCGATGAGCTTCTTCGACGGGAACCTGTTTATACACCATCAAGCCTTGATAGAGTCCAAGTAATTTAGTTCTATCCGTGGGCGATGGTAGCCGATTGAACTCAAACTTGGTGAGGACATGTTCATCTATAGCATTCTGTCCCTGAGAACATCTCTAAAGAGGTAGTCTGCTGGTGTCAAGGGTATCTTTGCGCAAAAGAAGAGATGATAGCTATTCCTCTTTTCTTCGCACGCTTTACTGCAGTAAAAGTCCCTGTTACAGACGCTATATTTCCGCAAAGTCAAAGCGCCGCAAGAGTAGCATTCATCGTGGTAGGGTTCGTCCTTCCGGTTTGGGAGTCTATCATTGGCGACCTTCAACCGATCTTCCTCCATAGACAGCCTGTGAGCTATATTAACACCGGTATATTTCTCATGGCACGTACAAATAACCTACCTTGAAAAAGTTGCAGTCACTCTTTCCCGCTCTAGTTCAATTTCCACTTCTCCATGTCTGGATGTGATCTGTACAAAATGCCAGCACATGGTGCAGCTCTTCTTACTGCATCCAGAATAAGGGAAAATATCACGGAGTTCATTGCTTTCAAAAAGATTCAGAACGATTCGGATTTCTGCGTGTATCCTAGGCTTTTCTTTATGCAAGGCGGCAAACTTTGCCTGCGTTCTCCCAATAGACCATTTCGAGCCAAGGGCGTCTTTGACAGTGGCGTTGTTGAGAGTTGCGCCCAGTAATTGGAGGGTATCTTTGAGTGATAGGGGGTCTGTTTGAGAGGGCTCTCGGTTCGGACCGCTGTCTCCATCGAGCATGATAGCAGCCTCCGTAAAACTAGATATATTTGACACGGCATCCTTTATAACTTCTAGTATTACACACAATCGGCCAAGAAAATAGATACTTCCCCATAATCTCTTAGTTATATTTGTAGTTTAGGTTGAATTCCAGAGCAGTTTCCGCGCAGCTCTGGTCATTTCCACCTCATAAGCTTTGGTGACGTGCCTATCATGCCGCTGGTTGGTTGTCAAGCTGGCATTTCGTTCGTCAAATACCAGCGTATAAATTTTCCTGAGTTGCTGGAGTGCGGTGGTAAGTCCGTCTTCCTCGATGGTGGAAAACACCAGCTCGCGACATTCCTTGAGAGTCTTTCTGATTCCTGGAACGTAGACATTTTCCAGTCGACTGGCGTAATATATCAGCATTCTCTCCCATAGCTCTTCGGGGTAGCAGAATCTACCTTTATTTTAGAACCCTCTAATCTCTTCAGGCCGGTTAATTAGAAGGGTCTACTGGCAGGAACCAATGCCATGCTTCTCAATAATAAACTAAGCCTCTCCCACAAAACCATATCGAAGTCATGGAATCCCTCATTGCGAGTGACCCAGATGGCCAGTCCATCCTCACATTCCCTCATATTAGTACACGCAACTGTCTTTCCCCCTTTCTTCATTTGCAAATAACTCTGTCAGGCCATCCAAAAACTTTCTTTTCAGGTGGCTTTGATCCAACTCTGCAACCTGACCCAGTCGACTGGTGTCAACACTTTTCGTATCCTACTGGTGGTCGGCTCGTACATCTTCTGAAGCTGGGTCATATTTCAGAGACTTTTCCACTTAGCCTCCATTTCGAAGAGCTTAAGAGGCTGTATAGAGCTAAAACTCTTCGTTTATCTAGACCTGCAACGTCCCACTTGAAGTCTGTAGATTCAGTCATAGTACTCTGATCAAGAGCAAAGATGAATGTGTTGAAAGCAGGATGATGAGTGAATACGTATGTTGTGTAGATGGGGAATTGACCCCGGCGTTACTCCTCCCTCCATTGTTCAAGAGGTGCGAGCGTTGCCACGTCATTCATCTCTGCATCTATCCCTGTCGTTCAGCCTGCCGATTGTCATCTATCCATTAGAAGCAAGCATCTTAAAAAGATGAGCTTCATATGGATGGGCGAATGCAGAAGGGCAATCTCAAATAAAGCCTTAACAACGCATCGGGAAGTCATTTCCAAGAATTCACGGGACCATTTCAGCCCTAACAGCTAAGACACTGTCCATACTTGGAAGCAAATTTTGCAATTCAGTAAGTAACACTAATGGCCCAGCCATCTGAATGAATTTCTATATCCATGTCTAAATAAATAACTCTTCATCAGACGAGAAAAACGAAAAGCCCAGCAGAAAGCTAAAAAAGCTAGGATCATTGCTCACAATTGAGAAGCGGTAAAAGAATCCAGACAAGAGATAGGAAAATAACGAGTGTGTCGTGGTTTGCATGTTCGTATCCATTGCACTGCAATAGATATAGACAAAACCAAGGGAGCATCGCACATAAAAACAAAGAGATAAGTCTGAACGAGTCAATGATAGATTTTCGTGTAGAAGATGAGAAGGGGTTCTCATTTCTGAAGTCGGTATGAGGTGACGGTGTCCTGGAGTGAGAAGATGAAGGTATAAAGGCAATTGGTGGTATCATCTATTAATGGCTCGTTCAAAGGGAGGAGGGACAAGAATTGAAGGTGAATGATTAAAGTACATGGTAAGAATGTACATATTTACAGCAGATAAAAAGACGCTGTGATTGATAACGGGCGGATTAGTGTGGGATGCTGGTGGTATCGTAGACGATCCCAATGATATAATTGTTGATAGATATGTGTTGAAGAGTCGAAATAGGTGGTCATGAAATCATGATTATCCAGATATCAAAACCCACAAAAGGAAGAAGATCTATAGACCGAATCAGTCATCTGAATTATCAAATACGGGGGAGTGAAGCAAGGAACATACCATTAAAACACCAAACATCTTTGCAATGAGCCATCTATTTCCACTCATTCGTGACCAATACTTCATTAACTCGCGCTGTGCACCTTCGACATTATCGACAACATCTTCCGTATTTGCATCGATCCGCTGAATCATTTCGGATTGTTCGCTGACCATTGTCGCTAATTGGCCGAAAATACCACCCAGCTCATTAATAGTCCGTTCAATGGCTTCGATAGCTTCTCCTCGCGCTTGAATGTATGTGTTTTCCGGTTGCGCTTCTTCCATCATCAAGAGTTGTTGGTCAGATGCTCCACGATTCGAGGCGGATTGACCCAACACAGAAGACGAGGAAGGTTCAAGAGTGAGGAGATCAGAAGAGTGACCGCCACCATTGCGGAAACCAGGTTGCGGTGTCCTGCTGCGTGGTGCGCTATATAGAGGTGAGTCTGACCTCTGAGGGTCGAACTGTGCTTGACTTTTGGATGACACGGAAGAGACAAAGTTTTCTGTGCGAGAACGCGATGCTTGAATATTCTTGGTGCGGACTTCCAAAACTTCCTTAAAGTTTGCGCCTACATCTGCCAGTTTCCCTTGTAGCATGACAACGACGTTGTCGTTATGCTCTCCTTCCTGGTCCGTTTTATTTCGGCTTGCTCGAGGGTGTTGGGCTAATGTGAGGGCTTGTAATTGTGCAATTTGTTGGTTCAGGGACGCCAGGTCCTGTTTGATGACATAGGTGAGCTCGGAGATTTCCACGGGTCTGTCATCAAAAAGTGTCTTGCGTTTAGCCACTGCATCAATTGAATTAGTTCTAGCATCACTGTAGACTTATAACGGATGCCACTTACGTTCGGCCAATCGCTGTAATTTTGCAGTCGTTCCAGTAATACCTCTCCCAATTTCTGCCGCTCTCCTAGCAAACTCCGATCTCCTCTTTCCCATACTCTCCGGACTCCCGTTCGCTTGGCGGCGCTGTGAATCTGAAAGCAAGACCTGGCGCTGAGTGCCGACTTTGCTGGAAGCCATCCGCTTCTGGGCCTGTCCTAGGATGGACCGGAACTCATTTGTCCGGTCCTGTATCGATGCCATCGTCATTTTGAAGTTTGATGATATGCGCGGACGAATTCTATCGTTCGTCGGTGCTCGGATCGCGAAGAGAGAACTGATGCTGATGGTTGTCAAGGAGGCAAGCTATTGAGGCGCAGCGGATAGGATACGTTATGTAGTACGGCGTTCAGTGAAATTCGCGGCTTCGCTGTACCAGAGTATAACTTGAAATTCTGCTCGCCGTATGCAATGTGCCCATGAAGATGAATATGCGAAAGAAACGGTCGAGAACGAAAGGACGATGTTCTACAACCCCGTAACTAACCCAACTCAGTTACGGAAACGTTGGCTTGATGGATATCCGCTGAAAGAGGCTTAGCGCAGGGCCCATGTCACGTTTCAGATTTCCTGGGCAATATGATTGGCTGGTACTGGAAACATATGGTCTAAGTGCCTGAGCATTCAGGAATCAATCTTGCTTCCTCTGCTACGATGTCAATTTTGCCCTTCAATCATGAGATCCATGACTCAAAAACAAGAGGAAACGTGTCTTTTTGACAATTGCGCACGTATAGACTGATGGCGGACTCAACATACGGCGCATCAGCTCATACATCAGAAGATTAGACAACCGCTGAGCACACTCGTCTTTTATAAATCGTTAGTTGCCCCTGCATATCGGCGATTCGCATCTGCATAGCCGACTGTCAAGTTAGCGTGGAAAAACAAGTTAAACAGTCTTGGATTAATCCTTCCAAAGAATTCGATATAGATCCGCCGCTGCGGCAGCCTCATCCCGCCGTAACACATGCTTCTGTCTTCACCCCTCTCCGGTTTTCTACCCGGAAAGCACTTTCATATCTCCATTGATCGGTGACATTATTCTACTCTATCCATACATTCAGATCTTGTTTGTTGGGTAGCCAACCGACTGCGAGACTCCAATTCTGTCGGCTTCAACGTACCCATTCTTCAACTCGCCGCGGCTGTGGGGTAAAGTATTCAATCTTATCGGAACCGTCGCAAGGCACAAGTACTACCGTCGTCCCACTCTCCCCGACTTATACACCTCAAATCCCTTTTTAGGAACAATCTATGGCCGATTGTATATTGTCTCCATTCCGATCCTCATGAACCAGGACTCATCTTTCGCCCAGGATGGGTCGCCAGTCAATGGTGCCACAAAAAACCCCTCCGCATCCAACGTCCCCCGCACTCTCGAAGAAGTAGCCATTGAGCTTCGAACAAAGGTGTTCGATTTGTTGGAACTGCAGACAAACGATGAACTATTACAGAATCTGCAGAAACAGATTCGTATATCAATAGAAGTGATCGAAGAGTCGTTTAGGCGGTATCGGTAGGTTGCGGCATATCATCCAAGGCATCTTCCAGACTCGTCCAGAGTGACTGACTGGCTCGTCAACGAGTAAAATTCAGACCCGAAGAATTGTCGCTCTCATATAACGGCGGAAAAGATTGTCTCGTCTTGCTAGTCCTGATCTTAGTCTGCCTCCCTTCGTCGACATCGACATTTTCGAAATTCCCGGAACGCTTACAGTCGATATTTATAATCCCATATGACTCATTCCCCGAAGTCGAGGAGTTTGTCGCAACTTCCACCAGAGAGTATTTTCTTGATTTGACTCGTTATGTGCTCCCTATGCGGCCTGCACTGGAACTTTATCTGAAGGAGAGGCCGAATATTAAAGCTATATGGATTGGCACGAGACGAGTTGACCCGAACGGTGGGCAACTTACGCATTTTGATTATACAGATAAAGGATGGCCTCAGTTTATGCGGATACATCCTGTTATTGTAGGTTATATCCATCGTTGATGGGATGAGTTCGGCTAACTCTTTTTCTCTCAAGGATTGGCATTATGCAGAGATTTGGGCTGTAAGTGATTTTCTTTTGCTTCAAGGACCCCCGGCTAATTAGAAGCAGTTCATCCGCCATCTGGGTTTAGATTACTGTCCTTTATATGATAGAGGCTTCACCTCGCTCGGAGGTGTTAGCGACACCCAACCGAACCCTGCCCTCGCAGTCGCAAATGATCCAACACAATTCCGACCTGCCTACGAGCTCAAAGAAGATAACGAAGAGCGTCTTGGCCGTGACCGATAATAAGCGAGCGTCTCTTCAGAAGCTCGCTCTATGTATACATAACGGGTACATTGGTGGGTGCATATTTCCATGGTGATTTGGCACATCCGGCTTGGTGTAGAGGGAGAGGTGGAATATACTCCAAGCGCGATTGACAGGACGAGGTATTGGATTCAGAACGGAAAGGTTACCTTCCGGTATAGAGGGTCAAATTATAACAAGAGTATATGATAGATATTTGTGACTTCTCTTAATCTTGTAAGAGCCGATTGTTCATAACTGCGTCCTCGAGCCACGTGTAGGGTCGGAATTGAGTGAGGCAGGAAATGTCTGGGAGTTCTATGGTGCTCGGACAACATGCGTCGCAGAATACTTCCGGACATAATGCAATCAAATTCAATCAATCAACTTGAAGGACGCAAAGCAATTATCAGGATAGGATCTCTGTAGAAGTTGAATCGAGAGGAATCAGAGGATAACACGAATAGCACGCTAATCCCTATTTGGCCTAGTCTGTGGCTGAGGAAGTGGCTGAGGAAGTGGCGACCAGCAAACCTTACAGCCTTAGGATTAAGGCTCCTCCCTGACATCGTTCCAGGGTTCGGCGCTTCAAGGTCTGATTGAGGCCTCCTTTTTCACATTATTGTATAGAGCCACAGTGTCGATCTTAACAATTACATCTATTTCGCCTTTCAACATCGAGAATCTCTGTCTTTGTCTGCTTTGTTTACTTCGGCGCCGCTGTATGCGCTAACAACGACAAAGGCCTAACTCTTTTGGTGGAGTCGGATCTGCTGCTTATTGTTGTTTCACCTACCAACTCTCGCCGGAATCTTCCTATCAACAACTTTATTGTCTTTGCCTGGCCTCCGCAGTCTCTTTTCAGTGCATAGTATATGCTATGCTTTGAACGACATTCGTTTCTGTACATGTTGCCGTGGTCGCAGTTATATAATTTCTCCTCAACGAGTCCATAATGTCGGGCCCATACCGACCTGGGTGCGTAAACTCCTCCAAGTTGTCGCGCATACTTGTGCTACCGCGGTGCTAATACCATATTTGCTTTACAGATATCCCGGAAATGGAGGAACACCATTAAGCCCGGCTTCACAAGCAAATCAATCAGTTTCCTTTAAGACCGACATTAATCGCAAGAAGACGAAGAAGTGGGTCGCTGCCAAATCATACTCCTACGACGGCGATGACTGGGGTGATGATGACGCCAACGAGGAGGAAGAAGACGAAGTAGAAGAAGTGCCTCCGATGCCGAGTACGTCTCGCTTTGCTCCAGCGGCGCAACAGGCAGCGTCGAATCCTGCCGTTGCTGCAAATTCAATTACCGGATCTTCGTCAACAACACAGGCGCCAGCTTTTGTTCGGCCTGCGGATATCTACAGACGGATGCAAGAAGGAAACGAATCAGGGCACAGGTCGCATGACTCTGCTCGTTCGAATACATTTTCTGGAGAAGTTGCTGCTCAAGGTACTAGCCAAAACGTACCACCGCAATCAGCGGGGGATAATGCGCGATCACCGTCGCCGTTAGTCATACCCGAAGTTAAACGATTGTCTGGATTTGGACAAGATTTCTTTGGAGGCGGAAACCAACCTGAGCAGGCGGCGCAAACTACACATGTCGCAGAAGCTCAAGTGACAGATAAAGGTTCGTCTTTGCACCATAATCCATCTCTCGGCTTCAATTCCATCGTACATCAAGCATTTGATGTGGAAGAAACGCCAAACTCCAGTACTGCAAGCTTTAGCCGCTCAAATAGCGACGGCACATCTGTCATCAGTCCGATTATCAGTCCGTGGAAGTCGGAGACTGACAAGACGCCCACTATTGCAGAAGATCCCACGGCGGAAGCGTCTGCGCAAGCGTCTGCGCAAGCGTCTGCGCAAGAGCCACCCGCCAATTTCAAGCCAGGTCATCGACGTGACCTGAGTTTGCCATCGCCCGGAAACGGCCCGGATCGAGTTCCGACAGTGGTCAATGCTGATGAAGGTCAATCTGCTGAAGTAGTCCGATCATCTTCTCAAGATAGCCAGGTTTCATCGGACTTGGATCGTGCAGAGTCTCCAATTAGGGACCAAACTGGGTCTGGGGAAGCTACTCCCCGTCCCTTGTCCGCCGTTCATGACTCTTTTGATCGTTTGAAGTTGGACTCTACTCCGGCGGAGAATGTTGGACAATCAAGCCAAGATGGTCAGCCAGGTGCACCATCACCGCTTCAAATACCTAACGAACCGTTACAACACATTCCACAGATCGCGCCACCCGTGGTTACTGATGACTCTCCTCTTACGGAAGGGTCTCCTCAGGATATGGAAAGTGATCGTCTCCGAAAGGAGATTATGCGCTCTTTCAGCAGTGACAATGTATCCAGTGTTCCTCTCACGACACAGTCCCAGGATATCACATCTGTCGAGCCCAAGTCTCGGCCTCAGCATGAGAGTACATATTTGCCAAGCGAATACGACAGTTACTGGGGCGAGCAGACAATTCCTCTGACCAATCCACTTCAAGTCAGGTCTGCTACATCACCTGCTGAACCTGCTACTCTCATTATAGATCCTCAGTCAACGGTAAATGCTTCACTTACTGAGCCTGAACCAAGCTCTGCTATGGCCAAGCCGCCTCCCAAATTGAAGAAGAAATTCTCATGGGAAGAGTCGGACGACTCGGAAGAAGATGTCCTTGAAGAAGCTCCAGTTTCTGCTCCATCCAGTCAACCCCTACAGTCTCCACCAGTTGTGACTCCAGTATCAGATACTGCGGATAGCATCCCGCCCCATCTGCCAAGTCAAGTTGAGGTAAATCCCGATGCCCTGAGTGATCTTGGCAATCGAGCATCTTTACCGGAGTATCCAACTGCGGAGAAGGAAGTCATTGATCATCTCGAAAAGCAAGCGGAAAACACCGAAAGCGACCTTGAATATCTTGCACCAATTCAGGAGCCGGAACCGGAGCCTTCCACACCCGGTGAAGTAAATGACAATGTAACGCCTCAAGCCCAGCCTGCTCCGTCCGCAGTTAATGAAGCATCACTGCCGACTTTCCGCAAAATCATTCAGATACCATCGCCTAGTGAAAGAATTAAACTGTTCAACGACACACGAGAGCAATTCGCCCAAATTGATACCGGTCTATCAGACTGGATTCGACGGTCAAGTGAATCTCTTCCCGAACACACAGATTTGATTCAAGCAAATGGCCGACTTCCAGGCGGCGCACCAACTACTGGTTTACCCCCTAGAGCAAAGTTTCCAAAACTGTCGTCTCTCGGAAACCTATCTTTGCCGTCTGGATCATCACACGGCACAGAAAACTCCTCTTCCACGTTCACGCCTACTCATGCAAGGCGATCATCGGGCTCGCATCTCACCGGCGTGATAAATAGATCGAATGTTGAATCCAAAGGAAAAGATTTCCTTCATAGCGCTGGAGCGCTAGGTGGGAAGGCTGGCGGAGCTGCGCGGGGATTATTCGCCAAGGGCAAGAGCAAATTGCGAGGAGCCGACAAGGTAGATTGATTTTCTTTCCTTACTCCATATCTTTGTCTAATTTCAGCATCTTAATGTTTATGACTTTTTGACTCTTTTTGGGCGATTATCATCTGGTTTATCCTTGAGTTTCTCATGATTAGCGCGTAGTTCAAGGGTTTTATGGGACCAGCATGATGATGAGAAAAGGAGACAATGTGTTTCCCTCTTGATGTATATGTTACCTTTTTTTCAGCTACACGAGAAAATTTTCTAGTTTTATATGATCTTTTCTAATTCGGACTCTTTTTTTCTTGTAGGGAATGTCTTCCATATTCCGTGCTCAACGACGACAAAGCTGGACTACTACCACTACCGCTGGCTCCGATGCACAATCTTCTGACCTAGAAACCCAGCACGAGGGAAATGAGACGGTCAATTCTTCGGTTTCATCTCGATATTCATTACAACCAGTCCCGCGAATTCCGTCATTGAGGTTGGGGGATGGTATATCGTTTAGGGAGTCTTTTGATGGAGATGAGACGTTTTCGATGCATACGCGTTCGTTTTCGGCGGATTTTGGGAGGAGGATGTTGGGATCGGTTGTGGAGGGGGAGGAGAGTGGTGGGCTTAGAGGCGCGAGGAGTAGTTCGCTTAGACAGGTTGTGAGGGGTGGTTATGGTGATGGTGAGGAGGGGAGAAGGACTGGGAAGGAGTCTGGCCTACGGAATGGGTTATCAATTGCGATGGATTCGCATAATGATGCTGTTAGCGTTCCGGTTGACAGTCATGGGACAGTTGATCAAGCCACGGGACCTGGAAAGGAGTCGAAGGATGGCGTTGGAGAGATCGGATCGCTACATTTTGCTGCTGATGTGGATCGAAAGGATGACTCTGGCTCGACCCAGTCAAGGGCATCTGATCCCGAACAAAATACTCCTCCGACTATCTCACCAGTATCACCACCTCTGCCGCATGAACCATCCCAGTCAGGCAGTCAGGTGTTAGGACAAAGCGATATCAGCCATGCACTTCTTACAGCGTTACCTCAACTTACTCTCGAGCCAACAGCGCAACCGAGACTCAGTCCACCGGGAACAGATGAAAAGCTTCATAGCCCGGTATCACCACCCTTACCACAAAACGGAAACCTAGTTCCTCCCCAACCAGCAAACCGACGGGACTCCATCGTCTCCCAAATCTCAGAAATTAGCCAAGATGAAATGGATCGTATTCGTGAAAAGTTCGACGAAGACGGCATTTACACTGGTGAACCATCACCCACACGATCTCAAGTTTCAGAATTGACCGATGATGATGAAGATGATGACATTGTTGACGCTATGAGAGAAAAACTAGACGAAGCTGGGTTTCATTCTGATCCTGAAAAGGACACTTTGGAACAATTTCCTCGACCTCCGACGGCTACGTCGGGAAATGAGCCTATGCGTGTTGTGAGAATGAGTCGATTCTCTATTGATAAGAAGACGGCTGCACAAAGTAGTGAGAATGATACAAGGCGATACTCTAGGTTTTCGTTTGAGAGTGAAGGGAATGCTCTTGCGGAGGAGATGCTTGTGAATGCACATGGCCGGCGGTCAGGGCAGGCTTATCAGCGGAATGCAGAGACTAAGTTTGAAGAATCTCATGTTCCTGTGACTTTGGGTGAAGACGCACCAGATGAGGCTCCGCCACTGTTCGATGATAGCGAGGCTCCATACAGCGATGACCGCAAGGGACATCAAGCCCGAGTAGAGACCTTGGGGAATGATAATCGAGTTTCGGATTCACAAAATAGACAGTCCTTGCGACCAGAGGCTGCTCAGAGTCCGCCTAGATATCAACCTATCCAATCATCACCACCACCGCATATGAATACCTTGTGGAAGACTGGCCGACTACCGGTTTTACACGCAAATCGTGATTCAGTAACATCTTCGTCTGTGTCTTCCGTGAGCAATCCGAACGTGGATCCAAATGCTCAGAGAATAGCAATTTCTCCCGAACCACCACTTATCGGATCTCACAATCAGCACCGTCCCAGTCCTGAGTTGAGAGACTCAAACAAGCCAAATCGACCACGAATCGACGATGTAACTACAAATCACACGCCAGGGTGGTCGTTATGGGCTAATCATGGACGATCCCAGCAGCGTACTTCCAATGGAATCGCAAGTAATTATTCACCTCATTCCAGCGGCAGTCCTGGAAAACGTGATGAGGAAAGTCTTCATAGCGGCGATAGCATGACGGTGCAAGCTGCTGCGTCTCGTCTGGATTTGCGCTCGGAACCATCGCCATTGATGAATAGTAGTGAGACCGCTTCGGATCATTCTAATCCTGGGAAGATTTCTAGTCAACTTCTTAATAAGGTGAAGTTTATGGGCAAGAGGACTAAAGGTGCTCCAGCGGCAGCTATTGCTCCGCCGGTGGAAACGATTGAGACGAAGGTTGTTGAGAAGAGGAAAGAGAAGAAAACCGATGGGAAGAAGGGGGCGCTGTCGAGATTTGGGGTGAGTATTTGGGCATGTGTTTTGAAGGTGCATTGACTGACTGTTTTAGGGTATCTTCAATCGCTCCGGCCCGAATCCGCGACCTGAAGAAACTGTCCAATTAGCTAAATACTCTCAAGTCAGCGAAAATACATGGACTGGCGGTGGACGTTCAAGCTATCCGCAAGCCACGGCCCATCAGCAACCCTACACTGCAGGGACAGCATCAAGTCGGCATGCCTCGATGCCAGCACAAGATAAAGCGTTACCATCACCGCCAGGTGGATATTATGCTCCCCCTTCTAAGCCTATGTACGAACCATCAGTAAACTACGCGAACCAGGCGTATCCGCCATACAACAGCACTTCTATGAATGGATACCAGCATCTACCAGCACAATACGCACCAAACACTGGGCAATACGCCCATCAATCACCTCCCTTCCAACCTCAACCCCTACAATACCTTCAACCGCAACCGGCCGCTCCGCCACAGCATCAAATCTCCATATCCAGCCGGTCTTACAACAACATCTCCCCAACCATTAACAGCAGCACCAGCGCCTCCCCCGAACTCGAACAATCACGCAGTCGAGCCCGAGATCTACGTATGCGCTCTCGCAGCCCTCGTCCAGCCCAAATACGAGCCCCACCATCCGGAAGCGAGAACCTCAACTACTCTGATCCCATCTACAATCTCGGGAAATTCCATGCTGTGACAGAAACACCACGCATAGGCGATCAATCACTCCCATTCCCAATCACGCTTCCAGATGACCTGGCAAATGGACAATTATCACCTCGGAATTCAATACAACCTGAATCGGCTATATTCTTCGATCGAAATCGAGCAGGTAATCAAAACGCTGGATTGGGATTCAATCAGTCAACTCAGATGTCAACTATCGAATTCACCCTGGAAGGCACAACTACAGCAGCGGGCAATACTGGCGGCAAGTCAAACTCAGAGATGTACGAGACCAGACCGGTTCATGCCAAAAACACAGTTCCCGTTGAACTACCCGTCCCCAATGAGAACGATGAAGAGGAAATCGTCATGTCGAGTACAGCGTATCCAGGACAGGAATGGCAGCCTCCAGGGTTTGAGCAGTGGGCACCTTATTAATCATCTCTTTTTGCACTATTATGCCCTTTGTTTTATGGTATATAATATTTGGTTTGTTATGGTCGATATAATTGTGCGGAGATACCCTTTCCATTTTTTGGTTTTCATTGGCGTTTCTTTATCCTTTGGTGTGTTTGTTTTCCTTCAATGTTTATGAATATGACTTGGATATATCTGGCATGATGTAGAGCGAATTTTCTTACGGTTTATTTGCATTGTGATTTGGAGAAGCAGCCGTGGATTGGTGTTATGAATCATGAATAACATCATCGGTATGGAAATCGGAGTTACGGGGTGACTGGGGGATGATGGATTGGTTCTGTGGAAGGCTGAAATGAGTGAATCTCTTCCGAAAAGGGCCAATTGTGAGTTGATATCCTGTTAAGAAGAGGGGCTCGATGTGACGATGCTGCTAGTCGAGCGTGTTTGGAGATTGAGAAAATTAAGGATGTAGAAGCTTCCATACCCAAGGGTTTGAGATGCTTTGAATACAAGGACCAGACAGATCCGGATATCAGACCTATCAGGCTCTATCGGAATATCAGAAGCCTACACCTACCAGCTCTATCAAGATCAATAACAACTATAACCCCCATCCACAACCTACAAACAACCAAATCAGCTCTACACTCACCATCCTAAGTCCAAAAGATGAGAACACTCACTATATTAGCCCCCGTCATGAAACTACTCGCTTCACTCGCCATCCACACAACAGCGCCTTGCAACTCAGACGGACGACCCATTCTGCGCATCGGGGTATGCTCCTTCCATTGCTCAACTAGTTCGCTTCCTTGTTTGTCCAGAAGATCAATTATGAGATCTGTGTGCATGTATCCTGGTGATAGTGTGTTGACCCGGATTGAATGGGGTGCCCATCTAGTATCATCCTATCAGTGGGTGTACCTACATTTTAGAGTAGAATAGTGGGATACATACTCGGTGGCCAGAGATTTCGCGAGCATGATGACAGCTGCTTTACTCTATTACATGTCAGTATCTTTGCCAACTTTACGGAAATGGGAAGAGAAACTTACAGCATTATACGCAGCCTGCTTCTGAGGCCTCACACAAACATCACCACACATACTCCCTACCAGGATAATACTCCCACCATTCTTCTGCTGAATCATATGCCTCCCAACTTCCCTCGCACACAAGAATGATCCATCAAGATTAACGTCCATCAATTTTCGCCACTTGGCATACGAGTAATCCTCTGCAGGAACGTTATCAACTATCCCTGCTGCCGTGACGAGGACATCGATTTTGCCAAAGTCTTTGATTATCTGGTTGATGGTGGATTGCACTTGAGATTCGGAAGTCACGTCACAGGAATATGGTTTAAGGTTTATTCCTTTTGATTGAGAGCTAGTTTTCACCTGGGAGGTTATATGTTCAATGGATGATGTTGCTGCAGGGAGACTGAGATCGATACATGCTCTATGTTCTGTTATTATCAATCCGATACTGAACCAGGCAAATATACATACCCATTTGCGCCCGATCGAGCAAAAGCAGTAAGAAACTCCTTTCCGAGACCACGAGCTGCTCTGCGCGTGCGTGCGTTTAGCAGGTACCATATTGTGTGGTGGATGCTCGATGACAAGCTCAACTCACCCGGTGACTGTGGAACTTCATTAGCTAACAGAACGAGACATATTTCAGAGAAAAGATATACGTACCAATACAAGTCTGCCCTTCAAGAGAGAACCCGGGTAGCGTCTTCGGTGGTCGTGTATATTGGCTATTCTGACAAAGAGACGACGCTAACGAGAATTGACATTTCTGTGACTGGGACAAGCTTGTCACACGAGCAATGCGGGCGATCATTCGAGGTCTACACAATGAAAGCAGTGCTGCATTACTTCCAGTCCGGGCCGAACGAGGATTCCTGAATGGGTTCAAGAATAACACCATCGTTCTTCTGCTGTCTGTATTTTCCGTATGTCTCGAGATATGATACCCTATAATAGAACACGCAACTCCACCAGGCATGGAATAGGAGTGGTTGGAATCAAATATTTAACAGAAGCTCTTCACAGAACCAAGAAACCGAGCAAGTCAAGACAAATTGTCGAGGCATGAGTCAACTATTTATACAGAAAAAAGGAACCGTGCTATCAGATCACATGGCCCAACCCAGTGGGCCATAAACGCCCTACATAATCTAGAGTAATCCCGACCTCCTCACCGATTTAGCTATCTATTTGGTGCAGCTAAACCGGAAGCTGTATACATTTCTATTGAGTGGAACCTCAACTGGTTCGAAAACATAAATAATTTGTCTTCTTTGCCCAATTCAAGAATCTAGGCCAGAGAAGTTAGGGTTATTCATTCTCGGCAAACCTTCCCTTTGGGACAGTCTCGTGCGGGGAATCTAATCCGCATCGTTCCAGGTCGTCGGGGTAAACCCAGTCATTTGACTTAGTACATACATACTCAAAGTCTGTTCAACATGATATATTCTTCAGAGTAGAGTCTATAATACACGGTGTCATACTTCTATACATAGTCTAGAATCAAGGAGCCAAGAATCAACCCTCAAAAAGACTATCATCCACCTCAACGCCCATATCCCTAGCCATAAGCTTCATCTGCTTCTCGATATCATCTTCCATCCCACCACCCCAGCCGAGTAGTTGTCTAATTTTAGAGATATAAAACACGAGATCGGACGTAAACAGGACGAAATGGAAGACGATATGACCGCCATAGTTGCGGATCCGCTCCGATAATGGTATATCTGGTGACTCGGCGAGGGCACGCGATGCCCATGTCGCTGTAATCTTGACTCTATTCACGGGACTGCCGAGGAATTGATTATTTCCCTGGACGATACGCAAATTTCGGCCTATAAAGACTAGTTCATGGGGCCATTTGGTTTCGTCGCTGAGCATTTCACGGATCGTTTTGCGGATAGCTTGTTGTCTTTCGTACAGGAGTTGTTGTCGTTCCTGCTTGGTAAGTTCTTCGATATTTTTGCGACTTGATTCGGATTTTTTACCGCCGCGGTAAGGACGCATCAGTGTTGCGGTTGCAAAGATGTCCGGGTTACTTATACCCCAATTGCCGGCGACTTCTTTTAGGGTTTTGTTGTCGAAGGTCATGAGCGCTTTCCAGAATCGGGCGTACTCATGTCGGAAGCTCGGGCTCATTTGGATGTAGAGACCGTGGTCGATGAGGACGAGTTCGGGTTTGCCGTTGGGCTGGCGCCGGACAAAGATGTTGCCTGGATGAGGGTCGCAGTGAACCCAGCCCCACAAGAACATTTGTGCAGAGAAAAGATCGACCATGGTCGTCATGACTTCTTTTAGGGACAGGCCGAGACCTCCACGTTCCTTCCAGCCTTTCCAGTGGGTACGCTCAGGCTTGATTTTTAATGATGCCACACTTCGCTTTGCAAGCTCTTCCCGACTGGGGATTTGTTTATCGGGGGGATCTAGTGGTGTACCGTGTGATCCTGGACTTCCCTCGCGCCAGCCGCCTCTCCATGGACGGGTGATTGCTTCTTTATCCCATAAACGGACACCTTCAATCCACTCCGCGGTCATGACTCGCTTCGAGCTGAATTCATGATACACCTTTGGAATGTAGACTCTGTTCCGTAGACGCGGCTCATTTGCGACAAACTCTGCCATTTGCTCGGCGTTTCTCGCCTCATTCTCAAAATCCGTTTCAAGGAACAGGCGCTCAGTAACAAACGGGACTAAGTTGTAAAATGGAATATCGAACCATCGACTATAGATCCACGACACAATTCTGTTTCCGTTAGCACAGTGCCATGGCGAGTCCGATATACAACATACTTGAAAGCCCACAAATCCCACTGAACCTGCGCCGCAATCTCCCTCTTCTGAATCTTAATCGCAACCTCACGACCATCCGCCAACCGCGCCCAATGCACCTGCGCAACACTTGCACTAGCCCTAGCCCTCCTCTCCATCACACCCTTTGTCGGATCCCCCGTAAACGAAACCCCAAAGACATCCTCCACCGACTTCCCAAAATCCTCCCTCACAACCCTCTCAACATCCTTCCAATCATTCTGCGGCGCATCATCAAACATTCTCGAAAACATTTTCTGAAACTCCGGAGGCAAGATCGCGGATTGCATGGCTATTGCCTGGCCGATTTTGAGATATAACCCTCCATTGTGGCGTAACAGATCCGACAACCGTTCCGCATTGCGCTGATGAACCGCCGCAATAGACGATGCGAATGGGGGGTCTGGTCTGAAATTTATCTTGTAATCTAAAGCAACCACAAGTCCTAACCCGAACGTGCGCGCTGTGCGTGTAAGCGAAGAGGCGTAAAAAGTTCTATCAATGACACAAATGATGCCCGTCGTGAGGGAGATGTAGAATAGTCGTCGGAGCCATTTTCGGGTTCGAGTGTATGTTTTTGCGGGCGCAGCCTTTCCGAGGGAGCTTGGGGACGGAGGGACGAGGGGCTTGAATTCGTTGGGATGGATGAATCTGCGTTGAAGGCGGCGAGGTTGGGGGAATGTTGACTGGCGGGGTGGAAGCTGAAGGTAATGGCGCCGATATAGGGAATGGGCACTACCCGAGGCTGGGAGTGGCCTCAAAGGCATGGCCGGTGTAGAGTCTTCAAATAGAAGAATTATCTAAAAGATTGATGAGTATCATGAGCTGGAACCGCTGGTGAGAACAGCCAGACGGTTAATTGAAGCAAGTTTGTAATCAAGTAAAATGATGTAGCTATGTTGGTGGACACCTGAGGATTTAGGCTGCCGAATTCCGATTTGGCGGACCGCAACTCCGAGATTGATCTATTTTCTACTCCTTTCCATCATGAGGCTATCTATCTTTTGCCTGGAACATGATGCGAACTGAGTATTCAGAATTTATATCTCATCCCAACAGCACACGGTACAAGACTGCCAGGCATTTCACGCTCAATACAAAACTTTGCGCGCCATCCAGTACAGTGGCCTGCTAACATAATCGCCGGATCAAGGGCTTTTAAATCGTGAACTGTAGCGTCGATATTTTTCACATCGTTGGATGTCGCTAGATGGTATCCGCCTACGATGGCGTGGAAGGGCATGTTGCTTCGATGATCATCGTCGTCTAGGAGTTTTCGGGCATATCGAGAGGCGTTGACTACGCCTGCATGACTGCAGCCCGTAAAGAGAACTATTCCCTTGTCTTTTGTGTGTCAGTTTTGAATATAACCGTATGTATGGTCATAGGTACTCACCTTTCAGATTACACATCAAAAACCGCTCGTCAGCAATTTTTTCATCTGAAATCCATTCGTTCTCAGACTGATCAAACCTCATTCCAAACTTGACTCCATTCTCATAAGAGGTCTCGCGGGGTATTTCGCCAGAGATGAGAAACATATCGTCAAGAATAGCATGCGTCTCATCATGTTTAGTGAGTACCGCTCCATGATCTGTAATCTCCTCAAAGCTGGGATCCGCTTCAAGCGAGACAATCTTGTCACCAAGCAAGAAGCCGCGAAAATCTGGACGACATGGGTGTACATCAACCACCACCTTTTTGCCGTCTGAACATGGTTGTTTTGCTTTATTGATCATATCAATTGCTTTCAGCATGCCGCCTAAGGACTATTAGCGTAAATCATTCGGAAAGGAGAAGAGTCGTACCGGAATGGTCTCGGTGCCAATGTGATAATACTATTAGATCGATTTTGGATATATCTGCTTTGAGTCGATTCACGTTTCGTTCCCATGTCTGCTCCTCAGGGCCAGTGTCGAACAGTACTGATCGTTTGGTGCCCCCTTTCGTTGCGGTCTGTCCATCCTATAAGCACACTCATTGGTCACATCGGGAAGTAGAGATGCGAGACGTACTATCATAATAGATAGCCCATGAGCTGAACAACATATATCTTCCATGCGCAATTCCTTGACTGCACCTCCCCGTTCGCCGGGTTGAAGAGATGGGGATGTTGATAGCGCAATGAGTCCCATAGATCCGCCAACTAGGTGGACAGTGTCCGGTGCAGGCTGAGACAGAGGATCTAGCTCATTGTCGATGATGATTTGAATTTCAAGGTCGTCAATCTCGACCAGCGCTGGAGACATTATCAACATGCAGTAAATATTGTGCGGCTTGTTGCGGGGTGTGGGGAAGAGCTGTCTCAACGTCTCAACCTCAGTATCGATGAGCCAGTCTCTTTGTTGAGGTGATTCACTATTTAAAGCATCAATGGCTCATTCTTGCTAGGTAGATGTCAACCTGTACGGTGGATCATACATGGGAAGATGATCCGGGCTGATGTCAGGAAAGTGTCAGCCGGTCCAGTTATGCCTGAGGCATCCACTGGCAAGTTACAACCCCAGAACGACCACCGCCGTGAGAATTCAATCAGGCATGTCCCTGTCCGCCCTGAAGATTCGATACAACTCAATGAGAAGAGACCTTGACCATTAAGTTGCTCGGAGGCGAGCCTCCAGTCCTCAGGGTCCCTGCTATGGAGATATCCGATATTCACCATGCACCAGTCGGAATCTATTCTCTGCTCGGATTGCGAGAGGAATGACACTGTTACACATTATTAGGGTGTGGTTTTATATTTGAAATAAAAGTCCACAGATCGTCTGTCTCATTGGGCTCGCCTGGGTGGTATCTGTCTACGGAGGATTCGGTGTCTCCGACACGGCGAGGAATTGGCTCATACTTCTATGTATACGCATGAAGTCATTGGGGTCTCTACTCCTCTCAACATCACATGCAGTCGCCTACCCCAACACTCAACTGATATTAGCGGCTCATAAAAGTTGATAAAAAAGAAGCAAGTCGTACAGCCATCGCGACCGAGTTCGTCGTTCTTTGTCGTGTTCGGAGACAAAAGATCGAAATTCCCGCTATACTGAATCGTATATGCATGCGAGCACTACTCAAGAGCCGGGATATGTTGACCGAGAGTCAAAGAACATGTTTTTATGCTGCAGTCCAATTTCCAGGATTCCTGCATAGCCGAGACGGGGTACTCTGCACATATCGGCGCTTCAAAAACCTCGTCTAAGAATATCCGAGCTCAAAGCGTCGCCTCGGTACACGGTTTACAAACCTAGAACAAGAAGGCACTAGAATATGAATCAACCATACGTCCACGCTTTGTAGGCTACTCTATACTGTATTTCCAGCCTGGATTTGACCGCTGATCTTGAAAATGGAGTTGGACGCTACAACAGCGGCAAGGGCGATCATGCTCCTCTATGGCCCCCCACTAAATGTGCCTAAATTTTGGATGCTCACCCTGAAAAAACTGTTGCTCAAAGTTCTCAGGCAGTGGTCAAAGAATTTCACTTGATAGATATATGTAGGGCTGCTAATGTTACTTCCCGCGTCTTTTCTAGATTTGGCCGCTTTGTTCCAGATTGTCTTTGCCCTGAATCTGAAATGCTGTGTCAATCTAATTGATGATGTTCTAGGTAACTAGATCTGCATACTCCAGGCTAACTAGCAAATGTGATAACTCAAGAACCCAGAAACCGGAGCTGCAGCATAGTGACCCAACAAGGTCGCTTAATTTTAGCGAGACGCCCTGAGCTTGATGGGTGTGCATAAAACTTTCTCTAGTGATGAGTATCAAATGAATAGTGTGTAGTACAGCACCCAGTTGCATCATATATTAGGGTAATTCCTTCTCTCTCTAATCGAATTCTTCATATCTCTCATCATACAACTATTAAAAGAGTGCGCCCGACTGATATTTTCCTAATTCCGAAAGAAAAGTGGCAGTATTACGTTTGCTGTGCGGTGAGAGAGTGAATGAATATAAAATAGAGAGAGAGGCCTGGCAGACTCTTCTTCGTTCTTTCTCCTCTTCCTCACTCATTATCACCTCTTATTGTCATCTCATCCATCTCAATCTTGACGACATCAAAGCTCCGCAGCACGATGGCGCTCACCACCCATCTGGTAACAGACACCCATCACCTTGCCCAGAACTTGACCCTGGACACAGGATTGACTTCTTTGTCAAAACCCAAGGATCTTGTCCTCGGTCTTGGTTCCATTGTGATGATCACCATCATTGCTCAGTGGATCATCACTACTTACAAGTTCTGGCAATACCCTTTCTTCAACAGGGCCTCCTTCTGGAACCCTTCCCAGGCAAAGGACAACTTCCTCGCCAATGCTCAGAAATTGCTTATTGATGGCTTTTCCAAGGTATGTTTGACCTCTTCCCATATCGAGTTGAAGGTTCTTCTCACAAGAGTATAGGCTCCCAAAGGTTACATCATGGATACCGACATGGCTCGCACTCTCATTCTCTCTCCTGAGTATGCAAACGAGATTCGTAGTGACCCCCGTTTGAGCTTTAGAAAGCACAATACAAAGGTAGGTAGCTTACGTGTCAATTCGTCTCGTGATCATACACTCTAACAACATGCTAGGATTTCCTCGGCCATCTTTTCACCTTCGAACTCTTCCAGGATCGCGGAAAGTTCGGCGAGAAGATCAATGACATGGTGCGCACAAAGCTAACGCAGTCACTTGGTAAGCACTCTCAGACCTGACCTACCTTGCTCTTTACTAACTCCATCGGCAGGACTTATCACCAAAGATGTCTCTAACGAGATGGCTGATGTCATTCATCACCAATGGTCTGAAGATGCTGATTGGCACTCCATCAACCTCAAGAATACCATGGTCGAGGTCGTTGCTCAAGTCTCTTCACGTGTCTTCCTTGGACCAGGGCTGTGCCGGAACAAGGAGTGGTTGCGTATTACCATCGACTACACCCTCCTAATCTTCGATGCAATTAGGACAGTCAAACGCTATCCCAAGTTCTTGCATCCTCTTGTTCAATGGGTCTTGCCTGAACCCCGCAAGGTTCGTTTCCATATGGCTGAGGCACGTCGTATCATCCAACCTGTCATCGATCAGCGCAAGGCAGAGATGGCATCCGACAAGGCTACCAAGCACAACGATGCAATTCAGTGGTTGCTTGAAATCTCTACTGGTACTGAATACGATATTGCGCTCGCTCAACTTGCTCTTTCCATGGCAGCCATCCACACCACCGGAGACATGATCACTCAAGTCATCTATGACATTTGCGAGCATCCTGAACTGATCCAACCATTGCGTGAAGAGATCATCGCTGTCATGGGCACAGACGAATTCAAGCGTACCTCTCTGTACAATCTCAAACTCATGGACAGCGTTATGAAGGAGAGCCAGCGTTTGAAACCTGCCGGAATGAGTAAGTCTTTGAACTTTGTTTTTCTCTTTCTCTTACACCTTGCTAACTTGAAGAACATAGTCTCCATGCGCCGGGTCGCTACCGAAGAGGTCATCCTTCACGATGGTCGCCGTATCCCCAAGGGCAGCATGGTCGCCATCTCTGGACACTGGAGCTGGGATGAGACCTTCTATGAGAATCCTGAACAGTTCGATGGCTATCGCTTCCTCAAATTGTCCAAGAGCCCCGCAACCGAACATATGTCTCACTTCGTTTCCACCAGCCCTCAGCATCTGGCTTTCGGTTATGGAAAGAATGCTTGTCCTGGACGCTTCTTCGCCGCGAATGAAGCCAAGATTGCTCTCGTTCACATCCTGCTCAAGTATGACTTCAAGTTGGACGAGACTACTCCACCACCCAAGGTCGTCAAAATTGGTTGGATGATGGCGTCTGATTCTCAGGCAAAGCTTCTCGTCCGTCGCCGCAAGGAGTTTTCTCTTGATTAGAAATCTTCATCATCCTCGTCATGACAATACCGACCAAAGCGATGCTTTTTTTCTTTTCTTTTTCATTACTTCTTTACACCATAAGTCATGGCACAGATAGATTTAGGGAGATGATACGGTTGATCCCTTTTGCTTTTATCTTCCATGGCCGACTCAAGGATGCGTTAGTTAATGCTTAGTGGTAGTTTAATCAATGACAGACATGATCCGATGAACTTGTTTTCTTCTTCGTATTTCGGTTGACATGTTGGAACTAAATTACCACTTCACCAAAAAGAGGATCCCCTTAATGGGGGCTTTCTGGTAATTGTTTGTATTCCAGCGCAGACGTTCCGTATCTGCTCGTATTGTATTGAAATCACGTGATCTAATTTCTGACATTCTGATAGACTTTATCGGAACTTGCTGTGCACTAGCACAAACTCAGTTAAGCTTAATACTCAAAGATATCTTTATAGTGGAAATATTGATATTGACCTTCTTCTGCGCACTCTTCTATCTACATCTTGAGGGGATTGTTGGACACTATTTATGCTTGAGAATCCCATCCACGCAATCTCAAATAGAAGATTCTCGACACAGAGCTGTAAAGTTGATTCGTAGATTCAATCTTGTGACTTCAATTCTCGAATTTTCCTTGTATCAATGTTGTAGGCTTTCCTTGATTAGGTTTAGCTTACCTAATCCTTGACAGACTTTTGTAGTCACATGACCAGGGTTTTTCCCCGAGAGGATTAAGGGCCGTTGACCGTTTATCAACAAATTTCGTGTCCATCAAACCGTAAATAACTCCTTCGATATCACGATCATGCTCGATTTTGCCCACATTTATATGAAGATGGAATTTAGTCTCATATTTTGGGCTTGTAAAAATTTCAGACCTTGAACGAACGTGTCTGCAGATTTGTTCGGACCGCTTCATCCGCTGAACAACCATGACAAACTTGGGTATTATGTGGAACGGTTGAGGTTTACGTTCAGAGACGATGGAAGACAGACCCTTGAATAGAGATACGCGAAGATTTCATCGCAAGTCGCGGAATGGATGCATGCAATGCAAGCAGCGACATGTCAAGGTGTGTTTCTGTTCGCTTATATCCGAGGATGCGTCAGCCTTTGCGCCTTGCTCGATACATCGCATATTTCTCATGAATGCTTCTGACAGAATATAGTGCGACGAAAACAAGCCATCCTGCGGCAATTGCGCACAAACAAATCGTGCATGCAGCTTTTTGCGAATGCTTCCTAGTATTCCGACATCATTAGGAAATCTCAGCAGTGGTGGTATATCTCCAGCCATATATCCAAAACAATCCGGACCACCAACTCCAGCATCAGCGCCGTCACCATCGGCACTATTTTCATCATGCACTTCATCTACAGCGACAACTCCAACCATCCCACTAATCAACATCGACACAAAACTCTTTAATCAGTACAACAGCACTCAAACACCGGAATTCACTCTCGCAGATCTCTCCATGATGCATGTTTGGGCCACTGAGACCAGTCTCACATTATCCCCTGCACCGGAAGTACAACAAGTCTGGGCAAGAACCATTACTCAAATCGCCCTACAGCACCGATTTTTACTTCATGGTATTTTGGCTACATCTGCTTTGCATGTAGCATATACCAAGACCAGTTCGACAATGGAGAATCGAGAATTGGTTGATTATGCGGCTCGCCATCAGGCTATTGCGCTGAATTTGTTTCAAAAGGCGCTTGCGAATCCGGTATCCGGGGGAGGAGGGCAGCAGCAAGAAGCGCTTTTCGTGTTATCTGTACTCATTTCAGTGATCGCTATTGCGACGCTGCGGGACGAGATTTCAGATGCGATGGAGATTGATATAATAACCACACGAGCCAGTGGCGCGGCCATTATGGATTTTAAATGGATTCGTCTTTCGAGAGGCATATTGGTGCTTAATAAGGATCATCTGGATGAATTGGCGAGATCGTCTGTTAGTCCGCTGATGCGGAGTGATGTTGTGCTAGAGAATGGACAGTGGCAGGATAAGCATTTGGCAGATGATTTGAGGAATCTGCAGAGATTGTGGTATGGCAATGAGGACTTTGCGGCGGGTGAGGACGATGAGAAAATATCCGAAGCGGATAGAAAGGTGTTTGATGACGCTTATTTTGCGTTGCTTTCAATTCGGTCCAAGGTTTCGGAATACTTGTATGCGGTACAATCAGAGTCGGACACCACAGCGGCGCGAAATCATCCCCTCGGTGCTAGTACAACGTCAAAACCGTGTCTGGACAGCCGCACCCTCGCCGAGGTTTTCATGTGGCTTATTCGCATCCCAGAAGGGTATATTGAGTTGCTGGAACGCCAGCACCCCGTTGCACTCATTATACTTGCACATTATGCGGCGTTGTTGGGTAAGGATTGTGCTACGTGGTGGTCGGATAGGAGTGCGTATATGATTATAAGGAGGGTTTGGGTTGTTTTGGATGAGAGGTTAAGGAAGTGGATTGAGAGTCCGATGGATGATGTTTGTCGTGCGAATGGATAAACGGGATAGTGGGTGGGTAGAAAGAAAGGCAAATATTTTCGGGCTCTTCATTTCGTCTATATTTGACACGAATTCGGTGGGTTGCATTGAGTCAGGAACTCTGCATATTATTCGTTTGAATCACCCAATCTGGGCCTATACTCGCCTCCGGATCGCATATCCCATCCGGCGGAACGAATCAGAATCTTACTGACAAGTGGCTCTTGACTCTCCTCCCACGGGACAGCTCTAGGATACTAGATTCGACATCTAAACATCAGCGAGTGGAGACAGAGTATAGTCTTGAAGTTTGGCATTTGAAAACAGCCGATATTAGAGGAAAAATCAGTTCATGAACAGCGTGCCTTCGAATACGAGGTATGATTGCTCGGATATGGGAGGTTCCCTTGCCAAAGGAGGCACCGCAACACATATCAAATTCAACTGCAGGTCCATAGCCATACTTCGATTTTGACCTCTGATGAGGCATGCGAGGCTTGTTGAGGGATTTTTCGGTCTGTTTTCAAGTAAATTATAAGTTCGTATATAAACTTTTTACGCAAGTGGACTGAACGGCATATGTACATAACTAGAATAGACCTTGTGATTTTTTTCGGAAGGAACAATATACCTATACAGGTTTGGTAGTATTTAGTTACTATGAATTATGAATACGCATACAGAAAATTCTCTTAAAGGGAAACCCCGAGCTGAGTAAGATGAAAAAAGGGTTGACTAGGTTTTGCTTCACATGCGATCCATCTGTTGAATTTTGTTTTTAATATACATAGTATATCAGTAAGCAATAATAGCTGGAGCTTTGAGGGAGAACTAAAAGTGAAAGGCGTTCTCATAGACGGTAGTAGGCACTCATCTATCAAGTCCGGGACTTGAGCGACCTTTTTTAAAGTCTCCTCCCCAATTCCTAGGTAGCCATGCTTATTCCTTCATAGCACATGCATATAAAACTCGGAGATAATTCAAGAATCTTTTGACTTCACTTCGCTTCCAAGTTTGCTTTGATGCTGTCGGGTTTTTCCGGAATACGTAGTGCGTTTATACTACTACGTTACAAATTCTCTAGCTTGAATCAGCTCATGAACTACGTACTGAACTTGATAAATGTGTACGCATACAGAGTACTACGTACTCATATCAGCCAAAAAAAAAAAAAAAAAGAAAGAAAGAAAGAAAATGTATTGTAGAGACTTGGTAGAAACGGAACAGACCAGGATCTGGACTTCGCTTCAAAGCCCTTGATGATCGTTACGCACTAAGTAAATTAATATTTGTATTAATGAATCAGCTGCAGGGTCATCATCGGGAAACGCTAGTTGGCTGGGTAGTTTAGGATTTAGAGGTTTCAAGTGAGGACCTGGGTAAGCCGAATTTTTTCATGACTTGTTTGTACGTATATTGATCAATATCATGACTTTTCTTTGAAAGACAATTTATCTGTTGTTCATTAACAGAATACCAGTAGCTCCAATGTCCAACATCTTTTTGAAGCTGTGAAATCAAAAAGTAGATTCAGACATGGTAGTACTTGGTCGAAAAGGGGCTAAAAATTCCGTTGTAACCCTAAGCCCCTAAAACTATCGGTACCAGTACATACTAGAATTTTCTAGTATTCAGAGTCTAGATCTAGCGCTAGATATTATTGGTTTGAAACGGATCATCATGTCTAGTTAGATGCACTGTTGGGTTCTTAGACTGCTTAGTATCCTCTATAGATGTGGTGGGATTACGTTGCTTGTTGGTGTTGAACTACATACAGAGTCAGCATACGACCATTTCAGTTTATATACCAATCAAAGAGCAGAATTTAATTTTCCTTTTGTTAGTCCCTATTACCAGTTAGGTAAGCTATGCTAAGCATACCCTAAACTCAGGGATCGAGAGTAATGTAAATGCTACATTGATCAGCAAACCCTGTCTGTTGGTTCATGAGCCTGTGTATCAATAACTATGTGATTCAAGGAGTAGTGGAACTATTGTAACCAATAAACAGGATTATGTACCTGACAGCTGCAACCTGTAAGATTTTAATCCTGGCACAGGGTATTGAATGCATACGCTGCTAAAAATGATCAGTTCTGGCATCAGAATTGAGGAATGATTGAAATCTCGCATTAGGTTGAATAAAATTGGCTGTTTCGACCATCCTATGCACGAAGGTAGAAGTGTGTTCCAGCAATCATACTTTATTCACACAACTAACCATGTATCGACTTTGATCCTTTCACTTCCTTGGTTGTCAGTTTTCACTCTTCCCGTCAGTCTTAGGTTACAGGTCTAAAGCAAGCCACAACGTGTCCTTGGGGAACGAAGGGGCTTTGACATACGTTCATATTCTATAAGATAAAAGTAGAGGCCTCCGCAGAATCAATCTATCTTGGACTAACTGCCCGCCAGTCATGCTGCTGTCTTTCATTTTGTCAATGGACCTCTTACCATCATGGTCAATGAGCCTGCCCCTTATAAAAACATTCTCGTTTCAATTGAAATAAATATTTAGCATGGATGAGTCAACTCATACAGCGCGTGGTATACCCTGATATTTCATGCATATTCTGTAGGAGCATAGCATGAGTCATAATGTTCCAGAATAGGCAGTAGGTTACGGGGACATGACTGGATAATTCAACGGTAAACAATCAATGCTATAAGTTTACTTCGGTCTAGATCTTGTACTCTTTCGGCCAGACGAATCGCCTACTCAAGATGCCGTAGATATATCTAGACTACAGCTAAGTGGAGCTCAGACTAGCGTGTAAGCTCCAACCTGGTGCATGTAACCTTAACTTTAGTCATGCACCTACGTCTTAGGTTTATGAAGGATTATCCGGCAATTCATGTTTGCCACTGTTTGGACTCCGTAAGCACATGGCACTCTGAGCTTCAATTATGGGTCCAATTCCATACGTACAAGCTTTGTTCAGGCCCATCAAATTCGGAGAATTGATTTTCTATACGAAAATACCCTAGTTAACTATATTCCTTTGCGTAGCTTTCAACTGATGACCATGGGATATTACCAGTTTTGTCATCCTTATTCTATAAAATCTCCAAATCGCCCTCTTCCTGAAGTCTTCTCTCTTTTTTCTTCAACTAACTCTTCGGATCTTCAGAGTCCACTACTTATTCACATTCCTTCCTATACAACAAAACTGACTTTGGTCTATCCATTTCTTACTGAAATCCCCTCCTTACAAAACAGCCACCATGGTTCCATTCTCCAGCCTTATTGTCGCCTCCGCGATGGTGACAGCAGCTCTCGCTGCTCCCACCGAGAACCTTACCAAGCGCAGCAACTCCAAAAAGGGCGCTGCATACAACGACGCCAGCCTCGTCGGACTTGTCACTGACGCCTCCTGGGCTTACAACTGGGGTAGCTATGGAGGCAACCTCCCTTCCGGTGTTGAATTCGTACCTATGCTCTGGGGATCCAACACCAATGGATGGGATAATAACGTCCAAGCCGCCCTCACCAGTGGCAGCAAGCACATTCTCGGTTTCAATGAACCCGATCTCAACAGCCAATCAAACATTGACCCTTCTACCGCTGCTGCTCTATACAAGCAATACATCACCCCTTACCAGGACCAGGCTGAATTGGTTACCCCTGCCGTGACCAACGGTGGTGCACCCATGGGTCTCACTTGGATGGAGCAATACCTTGAAGCTTGCAATGGCGAATGTGGTCAAACCGCCATGGCCATTCACTGGTATGCGGATGCCGCCTATACCGATCTTGAGAGCTACATCACCCAAGCCTACAATCTTGCGGCCAGTTACGGTATCTACAAGATCTGGATCACCGAGTTTCAGTTGACTGGTGTCTCGGATAATGATCAGGCAGATTTCATTAACAATATTATCCCCTGGCTGGATTCTACCGATTATGTTGAGCGTTATTCCTACTTCTTTGTTGCCGATGGTTATTTGATTAGCGGTAGCTCTTTGAGTACTATCGGCTCCGCTTACAACTCTGCTGAGTAAACTTTGGATCTTTCGGCAGAATTTGGAGTCGAGCTTATAGATCCTCATCCCAATAGATGCATGCTTATTTACTTCACTTCTGTACATAGCTCTTACCATTTGAAGAAGGTTTGAATCAAGCCATTCGCTTACATATCGAGTGCGATGCTGTAGGCGATGCAGTACTGTAACAGTTTTCTCAAGTTTTGTGATATAGACTTAGTCCACAGTACATATAGAGTCAATAGACCCTGCTATTCCCGTATCTTTAACTCTTGTATACGTACCTCATCATCAAACCTTTCAGACAATTACCATGATCTTCTAGAACCGTTCCAAAAGGTAATAATCGACCAAAATGAACTTCTGATTGGTCAATCTTGAGAACTATTCGCTCGACCGACTCTTGGCTTGTTTTCGATGCGGTCTAGCGGCCGGGCACGGCCCGCTATGTTCCTTAAATGGATAGCAATGCCCTAACTGGCTAATTATTGTATGCATATAAGTTACATTCTTCAAGCGTGTCTCCAGCATATATTCACCAACGAAGCAAAGAATCAGGTGAAGACAGAAGAGTTATGTACCTGAAATGGGATCATCGATTGGCTACCTATGTATCTAACATCTAGTGTACATGGCTGAGCATATTTAGCCCACAGCCAAAGTACACAAGACATTGAACATCTTTACCCCGAAGATGATCATGGCTCCCCAGAAAACACCCTACAAAGATCCGTTAGTCAAAGGTTAAAAGCAAACAATAGTAAGGAGAAATATAACCTCTTACGATCCGGTATCACTTTGCCATTCTGAAGTCACGGGTTCGTCCGCTGACAATCCATCTTTACCAGGCTCTTCGTTTGAAATAGTCGTATCAGGGTTGAGCTGCTGATTTTTTGCCTTATATTCATCTTCCTGTTTGATCAACTCCCTGCGATGATTGACGTTCTGAGGGAATTTCAACACATCGATATCTAGCAAGGATGGTACGGTCTTGTTGTCAAGCTCCGCATATTTGAATCGTTCAATGAATTTTTGCCTTTTGCTTTCTATTCTTTTGTCGTATCTGTAGATGACATTATAGATATTTTCTTCCCACCTTTTTATGGCGGGTTGGTTGTTTTCGTTGACAGCCTTGAAGTATTTCTTGGTCATCTTCCGCCATCTTTTGAAATAGGTGGATCGCTTGCAATATATTTGGATAAAGGCCTCGTTCTTGAGCTCGTCATACGCTCTGGTTACCTCCGGCGGGATGACTGTCTCAGGACTTGAGGAATTTCGTTCTTCCATAGTTTTACCTCCCTTGTAGATAGTATAGAGTTTGATGCAAGAAGTGTAGAATTTTCTTTTCTCGCGTGCGATACTTGCGTGATGAGAGACTAAAAGAATCATAGAAACGATTAAGAAACTGCAGAACAATTAAAGTAGTATGGCTTCGATTCCTTGATATATATTGCTTCATTTTTGGTACAGTCATTGTGTTCCAAGGCATGACTTAGGTACTGATGGCTATACCAGGATGGTATGCAATGGTTAAATATCACTAGTCACGGGGAGTCACAAGAATTCGGAAGACTCTTCTTCAATGTGGATGACAATAGGGTTTTCACTGACTATCTATATTCTACAGCCACCTCGTATTCCTCGGAAGAATCACGTTACACTCGACCATATCCAATATGACCTGTGAACTCTTGCTGTATGGTCTAGTTGAATTTTTGTGAAACATGGACAACAAGATCTAGGCTTAATTTCAATGTCTGTCCTCACTCTTCTGGTATAGGTGCACGTGGATGGGTCTCGGATCTTTTTTGATTCAGATAAATAGAATTTCTGTCCAATCATTGAACAATATCTAAGCTACAAGACTGTCAGGCAAGCATTTGATAAGGATACCCAGGGACATCTCAGGGTTTTCTTAGCCATATTCATGATGCATTGAAAACTACTGTGCAGAATACCTTTAGATCCAGATTAGCTCATAGAAAGTGCGCCTAATCAAGACGCACTCTTCCCCCTGAGACTGCCATATATACAAGAATAGTCTACGTGTGAAGAACTTGAACGGCGTTACACTACTATGTTGTCAGTTCTTTGCGATATTCCTTGGGAAGAATGTTCCGAATTTATCAATTATTATAAAACATATATAAAATCCTGATGAGACGAGACTACTAGATAGATTTCGAATGGCTTATTTCCCAGTCATCATGAAGAGATTCCGAGAGTGGCCAATGGCATCTGATAATCCGAAGTTGGGACGATCACCGACTTTTCAAGATATGAGTAAAATCTCAGTCATTGAGTTACTCATCCTTTGGAGCCAAACTTGGTGGAAATGTCAAATTATTCTTTATTAATTCAGGTTAATATGTTTGCTCTATTCCACGGGAAGTCATACCGCAGGCCTAAAGGCACCCATTTTCGTCACTTGTAACAAAGACACTAACAACTTCGCCCCTTAAGATGAGATTATCTATTACTCACAATAACTGAGAAGCTTTTACCATTGTAATAGCCAGTGACTGTAGTATGAAACAGTCATTATTGTGATTCAATAACTCACGCACCATCCAGTCAGCCGCTGGTATATCAAAGGCTTCGATCCCCTCCTGCCTTCATGATACCAGTTCTTGGAATATTACAACCAACAGGTTCTCTTCTTCATCCATAAAAAAAGAACCAGTCTCATTAGTCACTCCCCGGAAGTTGTACTGGTACCAGCTAGGATCACATTCAACGTCGAAGTTAACGGTAACAGTTGTATTGCTGGGGTATCAGAATGGCTCAAAAGGCTGGTGGAAATAAAGAGCCTCAAGTGGAAAATACCCTTGATGGTTATAAGTTTGGTATTGAGCTCGAATATCGCTTGACACCAAGAGGGAATAAACAAAAGCCTATATCTGGACCGGAAGTTTGTGATGAACTTGCAAAACTCTGGAATGAGACCCACGGAAAAGTCAAGGGCGTTAATCCCATGGAATCTCGCTATTTACTTCCGAAAACCGAAGAAAAAGGGTCCAGGGACTATAAAAGGTGGAACATAGTGAACGAGGCCTCAATGAAACCTGGGGAGAACGATAGTAGTAAGTATTCAGTTGCCACTTTCGCATGAAGAGACCAGAAATATGCAAAAGTCCCATTTTAATTGCTGTTTGCTGGCCTCTTATTGTTAGTACCGCTAGAAATTGTATCGCCGGCCTTCGAATACAGTAAATATGGCGACTGGAAAGACGAGATCGAGAGAGTGCTAGATCACATTCTCAACGAAACAGTACCAGAGATGGACAATAGTACTGGTTTCCATATCCACGTTGCTCCTGATGATCGTCCTTGGACCCCGCTTGAACTTAAACGCATTGCTGCTGCGATTGTTCACTTTGATAGACCACTCAGAGATCTCTTCCCTCGTCATGAATTTACGGAAGAGTGGAATAAATCCAACGTTTCCGACAATGGATACCTCGGAGATCCGCCGGGTAGGAAGACCGCTCTTAAAATCATCTCCGATGCTAAAACTAAATATGAATTAATTAATGCCATGAACTTTGACTGGGAAGAGAAAAAACGAAGAAACTACGCTTGGAACTTTACAAACAACTCGGAGGTCAAATCTCAACCCCGCTCTGCCAGAAACACGATGGAATTTCGATTACCAAAGTCCACGACGGAGGTTGAAGTCATCGAGAAGTGGATCACATTCACAGTGACTTTCCTTCATGCTTCACTTTTCCACAGTGAAGTCTATATTGACTTTAAGCCAACGCTTGGAGGACTTAACGGATTTCTGGTTCATAACTGTCCTCCTAGTACCGAGGAGTTCTGCTGGAAGAAACATTTGGCTGAGAACTGGACGAAGTAGAGAAAGGCAAAGGGTGTCTCCAAGTTAAAAGTAAGTAACAGATGCCTCTTATCGGTATCATTTTAGGGCTACAAGTGTTTCGGACCGTCCCTAAACACTCATTACTTGCTCTTCAACCTTTGTTTCCTTCCTTCCATTCAGGATACGCTTCCGCCATATAACCCTTTTCTATTCTTGATTTTTCCTTTCTTTAACTCTCTTTCATGTATTCATACTTACTGTCTAATGGCTTCATTGCTTTTTTTCAACTCCGGCTAGTCTCAACTTGCTTCTTACACGGTCTTTTAAGTCGAGCCCTCTTGATATTTTAAACTCATATAACCTCAACTTGATCTGCGAAAACTTATGAAACTGACTTAATCTCATTATTCTGCATAGCCTGCTTGTTGACGCGTGGTCCAAGGTCTTGATTAGGTACTATTTTAGGTATTACACCAACGACTGTTGAAGCTTAGGGTAGAAAGTCCGGGATTTGAGCAGGAGATAAAACCCAGGATCTCTAAGTTGCCTTATGGAAGATTGCATCCAGGGTGCATGTCGCTTGTTGGAGCATAATACATAACTTATTTTCTCCCTCCTCTGAAATCACTATTTACATGTCACACTGGGATTACAGAAAGTAATTTTGCTCAAGATCAGCAATCAACCCAATTTGAGTCGGCGTCCAACCAAGCGTCTTTTGTGTCTTTTCACTCGAAGTAGGGTTATGGTGGCCGAGTAAATGACCAAAGAAGCCCAGTGCTTGATTTACATCGGCTTGTGGCTTGCCTTCAACCGGAACATTCAGTTTCTTGCCAATCGTCGTCATGAAATCCTTCGTTAATACATTCTCAGCAACACCATTGTAAGTAACTCCTCCAGGGGCGGGCTTCTTCTCAATCGCTAGGCGCAATAAGGCTGCAGCGTCTAGTCGATGAACAGCAGGCCACTGATTGGAACCATCGTCAACATAATAGCTACCACCAGCTTTCTTCGAAAGATCCCCGATCATAACCATGAACCCCTGATCCTCTTTACCGTGTACAGTTGGCGCGAGGCGAACGACGGCGCCCAACACACCAATCTCCTTAGACAGTTTGAAAAGCAGATCGGACGAAAGGTTTCGTGCAGCAAGTGTACCGTCTCTTAAAGGCTCGGTGTCTTCGGTCGACAGTGCTCCCGGCGGATATGCCATCGTGCCACTCACAATGATGAATGGTTTTCCGACGAGCTCCTCGCCCATGGCTTGAATGGCTTGTCGGTCGACAACAAGGCTCTGTTCGAATTTCGAAAAGTCGTGGATGAATCCAAGATGGATAACGGCATCAGCGGCCCTTGCGCCACTCCGAAGACTCTCAACGTCTTCTAGATCTCCATGGTGGGATTCTGCACCGAGTTTACGGAGAATTTCTGCGTTCTTCTCACTGCGTGATAATCCGAGGACTGAATGGCCATGCTGAATGAGTTCTTGAGTGAGGGCACGGCCGATGAAGCCAGCTGCTCCGGTGACGAAAACACGCATATTGTCTTGTGAAAGTTTTATTTGATGATTGAGGTTGACCGAGTTGTCCCTAATTGATTACAGATTTGTTCCGAATCGTCCTATGAGGCTTATTTGTTCTTTCGATAATTACTGAAGAAATTCCGGCCGAAGGATGCTTCTAGCGACGCCTTTTATAGTCGAGAGATCTCACATGATTTCAAGCTCGTACTGACATGTATACAAGCGTTAGTTCCATATGTATGTATAAAATTCCGATTATTGACAGATTAGGTGATCCAGTATGGAGGCTGTGAGCTGTACGGACTTTAATGTGGGATGTTGCAGAATCCCCGTTCAAAGTCCGCCCGGTGAATCATCGCCGTTTCCGACCCTCCGTCATAGTATTTGTATAAAATACTCGGTTTTAACACGGCAAATTGCTATATTTCATGTTGCTTTTATCATGTACTATGATCAATTATTTATCTATGAGGTATGATAAATTTCATCATTTCTTCAGATATATTTTGCGGCATCATGTAACAATTTATGATCTTAAAGGGCAGTATTATCTATCACTGGATTCGATTTCTAGACGTGTTATTGGGATGTGTGTGTGTCATTATTTAACGGCTGTAGGCCGTGATTAATCACTGTCTACCCATTCCCTAGTGGGACAAAGGCTACCAGGGGGTTAAACCCTAGGTGTCAAGGACTAGTTACAAGAAGTGACTCTTTGGCGCTTTTACATAACTGCCGTGTTCAGATGAATGGCCTCTGCATGTAGAGGCTGGATATTGCTGCCAGCTGCAGTGGTCCGTCTACTCCCCATGACCGAATCTAACCTGTTCAACACTGATAGATCTTAAGATGGAAGAAAAGAAGGTAAAGAAAAGAAAAAAGGAACATAATAAAGTTAGTTGTGGCTACTTAGCTTAGGTGCTAAGAAGAGCGCGTCGAGGACAGATATTCTCGAACAATCGAGACTCTGAGAACCAGGTAGCTAGTTGCATGGCGCCTTTCGGAGTGCCTAGAAGGAAGGGGATGATTTCAGATGGGGGTCCAGGAGATCCAGCAGGGGGGGAGGCAATCTTTCTCTTTGCAATCCGGCAGAAGAAGAAATTTATTGGTGTCTCCCTCGTGCCACATCAGCAAAGGAGGTGTGCATCTTGACGATTGAACCGCTTGTGGTAGTCGGCGAAGTCACCATGCTTGGAGCGCGCAGCTAGGATTCGCCCTAATATAAGGTGCGGAAGTTTGAGCTCTTCTGGGCGAGCTGGGAACGTGGTAATCTCGAGATCTTGATAGGCCTGCGGTGGGACTTTCTTCCAGTGAGTCTGGGCTCGGGCAGATGCCGATGATTTGGTATGCCGCTTGTGTGTGTGTGTGTACGTTTCTATTTAACGGCCGTAGTTCGTGACTCGCACGCTTCCTACCAATTCCCTATTGAGACAAAAACCGCCAGGGGTAATAACTGGGCATCAATAACTAAAAAGCTTTATCATACGTGAATAGGCTCTTAGGCGCATTTCACGTAGCTGCCGTGGTCCAGAAGTCGGTGTACTGAAATTCTTCCCAAACAAAAATATATATCCCAGGTCCCTAACCCTGGGGTATTGCAGTTCCTTGAAGTAGCCACTCCCTCAAGTATATAGGATTTTGATGGTATGGAGAAAAAACGACCCATAAACCCGAAGGAAAAAGGGAAAAATACCTCCACAAGTACAGGTAGTCGGAGGAGCGATAGTGGTATCTCTCCTAGTGTGCTCCGGAGAGCTATGAGGTCAGGGCCTCGCTAATGGAGAGCCGTGTCGTTGTTGCTCGTGAAGAGCGGAGCTCATGAGCCCGTGGGCTACCGAGGGAGGACATGTAGACTGTGCAGTTGGATGTAGAGAGAGCGATAGAAAGGCGTCAGCATCTGTTCGTAGTAGGTGAGCTCTCTCGTATCTGACAGAGAACGTTTGAAACTTCCGATCGCCGCAGTATTCCTGTAGATCCCCAGGTGATATTAGGCTCACAAGAGACCTGTAATCGCCGCTCTGCTCTTGGCCATCGCCACTTGAGTGATGTTACCAACTGCACCACGAGAAGTTGGCAGAGTCGGAATTCACAGCCCACGTTATTGGAAGGAGACTATCAAGTAATTCAGGGTTTGGTTGATCACATGATCTTGAGATTCTGTTGGAGCTCGGTTACGCTAGGATGGATACGGAATATAGGCAAATAATAAGAACTTAGAGCCGAGAATTTCTCTGTATTGATGCACACCCTCCAACACAAAACTTGTCAGGAATGTTGACCTCTTTTATATGTGAGGTCCTGTACAAACTAGATCATGAGATGACGTCCAGTCGAACCTTGTAGACATAGGCATATAAAGCTGATTGGATGTCTATATCTCGTCAGTATGTGAATCTAGTTCTCGAAATTTCTTCATGTTAGTATTATGATGGATTCCCAATTAGGGATAGCGTATTGCGTTCCAACAGATTCCTATTTGGGTGCTAACCACTTTGACATTTTCCCTTTTGTTGTTTAATAGTAGAGAAAGACTAAGCACGCGAAGATCCTGTAGATCATCAATACCAACATTGAGACTCAACTCGTTCCAAACTGTCTATGGGTAATCTCCGCTCCAGTCCCCCGGTTCTTCGCCACCTACTTCGACTTATCCCCATGCTCCATAATTTTTTTTAGGAAGACCATGATTGATCGACTCTAAACTGCAAGGAAACTTAATCCGTCATTATCTTCACCAGTTCCCACTTCATGCTTAACCTGTTGTCCGGCACCAGGGCGATATCTCATGTCTGCTCTGCATCGCCGACTGGGTCCGGCTGACTTGTCCAAACAGCCTCAGGCTCAATGAGAAGCTCTTCATTATTGAAAGCCACCTTGTAGAGAGAAGCCCAGATACTTATTTGGACAATACTACCGTCTTCCTCTACGTAATTCGAGCTGTTCATGTATTCTGAGGAATATGCAGCGCCGGGAAGACTTCGTCGAAAATCATAGTCGAACTCCTGATACTCGAGTTTCTTCTTAAACGCCACACAATCCTCGAAGATCTGACGCAGTCCTTTATTCACAACTTCTTTTTGAACGCCTGGGCTGTAGTACTCGCTGAATAAGGCTTCGACGCTTTGTACGAGCTGGTTGCAGGCATTATTTAGGCGGCGATTTGAGAAGGTATGACGATCCCCTAGAGCTCTGCTGGTGGTCGATCTCCAGGTTTCCCACGCTTGGCTACTTTCTGGTACCACGTCAGCCTCGTGTATTGGTTGTAGAATGTATTTCGCAGTGAGTACTGACCAGAGCCTCTTATAACTTTGCCAACTGCCGTCAACAGCCGTCCAGATCGTATAGTGGGACTGAGGACAAAGAGACGACGGAAAACAGTATCGAAGATAATACCAGCGATGAACCCCTGAATATAGGCACGCTTCCCCTGTACATTTTTCAACATGTCTTCAGGTATTATTATGGTTGACGATGTCCTCCGCAAATTTGTCAATGTCATATAACCCATAACTGACTTATCCCTGAAGGTTCGTCTTGTCCATGAGTCAAGGTCTTGTTGAAGCTTGCGCCATTCGGACGAACACTGCTCATCATACAATGCTTCTTCCCGTGTCTGTAGTGAGTTTAGTTTTGTCATCAAATCCGTGGCTACTTTCTGATAATGATTAGCGGACTCAGTGGCAGCTTGTCTGGCTTCAGCAGAAAGCTCTCTTTCTCGGCGGAGTGTCTCTTTCAAAGATAAGTACTCATGCGTCAGGCCATAGAGAAAGTCTACGATCTCATGGTTGACTGTCCTGATCTCTCCCCCTTCTCTTGGTGCATTGTCTCGAGCAACGGTTTCGGTCTGATCGAACTCCTGCTGTGTTTTTTCAAGTTCTGTTTTGATCCCCGTTAATGCCGATTCCATCTTCATTTCACTCTTGATACGATAGTTGATTTCGTCGGTCAAGCGAGCATTTCTCTGTCGCAGCATCAGTGCCTCGGCCTTTATGCTGCGGAGTTCCTATGATGACAAGAATAGTCAATACCTCACCTTCTTGGCTTGGGACTTGACAAACCTCTTCTACAGCGGAGAAGTGCTGTTCCATTGACCCTGGTACTATCCATGAACATCCCCTATTAGCCATCATAATTCAAAATTCATATTATCAGTCAGTCTCACAGTGTTGCACATTTCTCTCCGCAGAGGTGAAGTCTTCGTCATCCATGGTTCTGCGCAGATGACCAGTCATCACGATCAAATGTCTGTTGGCAGTGAGGATATCTTGAGCTGACTTGGGCTTATCAATCTGCCGTGGGAGGGAGAAGATGTGAGAGGTGAAAGTCTTTAACTCTGGCTCATCGGGACTTGTTGAGTTGAAGAGAATTCACATGTCAAAGATTTGGAGACGCGATTTCAGCTGACCGTTTGTGTTTTTCGTTTGCATCGTGCCCGCCTAAGGCGTCTTCTTTCCCCCTCTCACTCTTCGATCGCTTTATCTTTCTCTCTTCCACCTCACTTCTCCAATCTCACCATCTTCAACATCATCCTGTCCTCACCTGAACTTAGGAATCGTTTATCTCTTCATATTCCTCATCCTCTGCGTCTTCTTCTCAAAGTCTCATTTTCCTACACTTCTAGCAAGCGTCTCATTCTGAAGATTGTTGCTACATTTGAGATCTAAGCCGTTCTTGAAAGGAAAGCCAACTTTGAAAATGGCAGCACAGGGCACAACTCAGTCCATTACCATAGGGCTTGATTTTGGTACGACTTACAGCGGGTCAGTATGCCCTGAAAACAGCTATGAAATTCCAACGAGGCCTAAGGCCAAATTACCGTGTTGCTTGGGCAATTGCGGGCGAGCAACAGCAAATCGAGGTAGTATCTACATGGCCAGGTAGGACAAACAGTGAGTTCAATGGAAACATCCTTGATGCAGTTAGCTAACACTCTTTAGGAACAAGTTCCAAGGTGCCTACAGTAATGGCTTTTACGGGAACTCGCTTTCTTTGGGGATGGTAGGCTCTGGCCTCGCCACAAGAGCCAATTCGTGGTGTGAAGCTACTGCTCGACGAGGACCAGGCTATCGATATAGTCCATCACTCAGAGCCAAGAGGTTGCTTGATTTCACGCAAAAGTCTCCCGTTGATGTGTCCGCTGAATATTTGCAAAAACTGACCGAACATGATTCACCAACATCTGGAACGCAGCTTTGGACCTGCGGCCAATCATATGACTAAAAATTATATCCTTATTATTCCGGCTGTCTGATCAGACAAAGCAAAAGATGCAACTATGAAGATAGCCATTGGTTCTGGTATAACAGAAAATCAGCTATCTCTGTTATCAAAACCAGAAGCCGCAGCTCTTTATTCGTTGCGAGCAATTCAGTCTAACACAATCAAGGTACGTGAGTCCAGCATGTGTTCACATGTGGCATCAGAACTAAACAAAATTTGGAAAGGAGACACATTTATTGTCTACGATGTTGGCGGTGGCACGGTTGTATATTTTTTCTGAGAGTTTTGAGTACGGACCTCGGTGGCTTACTTGTATCATCTTCTAGGACTTGTTATTATACCATGTGCAGGACCTCTCGCCTCTTAGATTGAAGGGGGTTGTTGAAGGAAGTGGTAGGTCTCGTTCGGTAATCTGGAATAGATTGGTCCTTATCTTATTTTCTAATCAATTAGGCGATGGATGCGGCTCCATAATACTCGATGAGCACTTCGAGCAATTTCTCGAAAACCTACCCGGTTTTCAAGCTTTCGAACTTCTCCCAGAGCACACGGGGAATGCAGCTCTTCAATACTGGCAAGACTCTATCGAACCACGCTACACTAGGACCGATCAGGAGGATGATCAGGATGACGTCGGTTGGGAATTGCCTCTATTAGGACTTCCTAACCAACCTTTAATTGGTCTGGAAGGTGGATTTCTACAACTCAGCGAGTAAGTCCAAGTCGAGGAACTCCAAAGTATTGACCTTATGGACTTATAATGTTGACTATATTACTAGGCATCAAGTGCAGGAGATTTTTGATTTGGTAGTGCAGCAAGTAATATGCCTTGTGCAACACCAGGCGAGAAAGGTCAAGATGGGGGGCATCCTTTGAAGGCGATACTCCTTGTCAGCGGTCTCGGCGGATGCGAATATCTTAACCATCGTCTTTGCAAAGCGAACCCGAAGATTACCATTTTGCAACCTCCTGACGCGTAGGTCAGGTCTATAGGATCTTGAAAAGCAAGTTACTAATCTGGAATCCAGATGGCAAGCGTTAGTCAGGTGAGTGTCCTCTCAGAATGATGATATATCAACATGAGTCTAACATACACAGTGGAGCTGTTCTACGAGGCCTTGAGGGCAATCTAGTGCAAAGTTGTTTAGCACGATGCCATTACGGTATCAATATACAGGAGGATTATGATGCCGCTCGTCACGGTGGGCTCAAGAAGCACTGGTGCGAATACAAACAATGTTAAAAGGTCCGTGAAATAAGGAGCTGGTTCATAAGAAGGTAAATCCCTTCTTCACTCCCTTTCGTATACATTGCATGATATTGACTAAAATAGGGAGAATCTGTTTCAGAGAATAAGCCGATCCGCAAAGATTTCTATCGCGTCGTATCGTGCGACGACGACCTGACATTCGTTGAAACATTATACATCTCCAGAGCTTCATGTGCTCCAACCAGGATGATAAACGGTAAGTCGCCCTCCTTCTTGAATAAGGTTTGGCTCTCTCTTCTGACAGATTAATGTTTGGTGAAACAGAAGTTACCAAGCTTTGCCAAGTTCGTGTCGATCTCAGCACCGTGCCAAAAGAACTATTCACCGGATGCACGAAATAGCAAACGAGACAGTTATTACAAGATAAATATTACTTGATAAATATTACTTTTGTAATTATTCCCTCTTCGGGATACATGTATTCCAGCAAGAATTCAACAAGACTTCTTATGGCATTGTACAAGCAGAGTACTAAGGCTGTTACAGTGACATAGGTGATCTATGAGCGGGGAACGAGAGGACGGGATAGGAGATAGAATGGTAGAGGTTTTTTGGAGGAAGAGGTACGGAGGTCGGCTGGCGAGTCTATTCCTTTCAAGAACGCCAACAAGCCCGCAGTCGATAGCGAAGAAGAAGATGGAAGTGACGAGGTGGTTAGTTCAATCCAGGCCAATATATCCATCCATAAACTAATTACTAATATCTAACAAACGAGAAGACGTATTGAATCTGATTATCACGACAATTATCCTCGAATACAACCACAAGTGATGCTACGTCTATGCTATCGTGTACTCTGTCACGATACTATTACTTGGCTGCGTTGGATTTGTCAAGGTATCTTACCACCATCTAGTCAATCACCAGCCAGTTACGAGCTGAGATCAACAATTATTGGACACCTAGAGGGTAAACGAAACAGGAAGGGACCTCGAGATTGATCACGCCAATACCGGGAGTGGTGGAATGATATGTTATTCCGAATCGGGGAATAAGGGACTTCCAAAATCATCTCCTGTTCAGGAACTCGGCCGCGATCCTTGTGGCTCGCTTTTTCCCAGTCGCTTCATTGGTTTGATGCCATGGCTGTGCTTTGAGTCTGTCCGAGAGAAGAAGACAATAATCAGGAGAAAAGATAGGTTGATAGAGAATGCAAGGACGAGCAAATTCATCCATCGAAAAGAGTTCTATTCAAACATACATGTGCATGTAACACCGCTACGTATGTGTCCCCCTACGGTCAATAACAAATCGCACCCCTATGAAGTCTCACAGATGGTTCTACTTTCTAAGCATATCAGGTTGGAACGCCGCCTCACCCTACAGCTCATGTACATACCTAGCACTTTCTGATTCCCTTAGTTAGCTATATATCGCCGTACTCGACCATCTAATATGAGTACGTTTAACTATTCATCTCGATACGTTGAACTATCTCTCAGAGTCCAAAGATATTACATTATCTACACACAAGCCGATTGTGTCCAAAGATCGTAATGTATGCTCGACATAAATTCCGACAGCAAATTGTAACTTGGCCGATGGGAGTCATTTCTTTTGGCCGAGAACCTCAACAGAAGGCCTAGATGTTCAATCATTTTCTATACTCTGCCATCATCGATTCATCTCACGTGTGCAGGAAGCCCTATCATATGTTACACATCATTGAAAAAGTCATAAGAGTACTTCGGGGCAACGAAGTTGATAATGGCCGGGTGGCGCAATGGTAGCGCGTCACTTTCCGGTGGTGAAGGTTGCGTGTTCGAGTCACGCCTCGGTCGATGTCATGTATTTTTCTCTTTTTATCCTAACTACCATGTTTTGCTCAGGTGGACAGGATATCTTTTTGCCATGGGATGCATCTTTTTGCTACTGTATGCGGAAGCATATCTTCTGTCGTTGTATAGCTTCATCGTGTTTACTACGGGTTACTCTGGTCGAGGATAATGCTGGAAAACCAGGCAAGCACTGGACGGAAATAATCCGTCATACAAGCCAGTCATGATCCAATAATATGCAAAAGAAAGACCCAAGATCATCACAGTCACATCTTTCACCCTGTTCCATTACCCCTGTACGGAGTAGTTGTCTGTATCATAGTATGCATCGCGGAGTTAAACAACGAACCCGACATCCAACCAATCAAGAGGCATACTTACCAACGACACACACGTAAAATTCATTCTTGATCCAAATTCTCCCTTCATTAACCAATCAAACAATCAATATAACCCCCTTCTACCGTACTGCGTAAGTTCATCGAAGGTTCTAAGAAGAAAAAAGAACGGAAATCGGGCCGAACGGGAGACATCGGCAGTCCGGCCAGCCTCTTTACCGACTTTCTATCTTCTACTTACTTGCTTGCCAGCGAGAAAAATCCCTCATTCGGGCTATACTTTTTCCAGAAATCGCTGCTTCTCGACAGAGGCAAGTCAGCATACAAATCCTCGAAGGATTGACCAAAAAACAGGGACCAACTAGTTTTGCGGATCATAATGCGGAGTCATGGATTAATCTGAGTAGACGGTGAACGAGTCGTCAGCGGTGATAGGGTTGATGACTAGTTCAAGCTTTCTGTCTACGTATCTAGCACCTGCGTACATACTATGTACGTGCATGATGGATGCATATGTAGCTAGGTAATGTTCGTTTCTTCTTCGGAGATATTCTTTTGTTCTTTTTTCGGTGTCGTTTTTCAGACGCTTTTTGTACACTGTGCAGAATTGATTTGCGCGATTTATCGTTTAAACCGTACTTGACACGATTACCACGTACGGATTGTACTGTAAGTACGTATCAGTGAATATTCCCCATTGATGAGGCATACGTACGTATTCCATGGTGTTCATGCCCACTGCACGACCCGGGACAGACGAGTGGACAAGTAGACAGAACACACGACACCGGTCCCCACAAATCGACTAATCAATCCAGCTTCTTCTCGGGTGGTAATTATCGAATCTGATTCGATAACGCCAGATCAGCCTCATTTTAAGTCCGTTCCTGTGCCGATTTCCGTGTCTTATCTAAGATTTGTTGCCGGATTGGTCTATGTGAACTCTGTTTGGGAAAACTGATTCGCTTCGAATGCCAGAGTACAGATAGATGTCGAGGAGGAGGTTTGGCTATTCGATTCTCGGTCTTTGGGTCTGTCACTCAGGTACTACAACTCAATGCCGACGGGATACCGTGGCTACATATAGAGCACAGAAGATCTGATCTTCAGGTTCGATGTTACTGTCAGTAGTAAGCTGACGTCAGTGGTAGCCGAACTAGTTAGTGGTTGTCGTTCAGGGGTAGATCGAGTGAGATCAGAGGTAAAATAAACGGTCGAGCGTTCGGTTCGGTTCTTGCAGTGAACGAGTCATTCGATCGTAGGTCATGAGCTGCCAGACAGAAAGTCACACCAATTGCGCGTTGGTGAATGGATAGATGCAACTGTCATACAATCTCATCTACCAGACCGAATAATGAGCCATCTCATACCGAGCGGCCGATAAGTACAGCGTAATCATGACTTCTAATCATCCTACCAATCCCATAGCCATATAGACATACATACATACATACATACAATCATCCAAAGAGTAGTCGTACCACTGGAATGCCACACCATTCAATCAGAATCCATCCCAACCTTCCCAAACCCCGCCAAGAGCAAAAGCCACGATCTCAACATTCCAATTGCCATATGACTTGGTAGTTTACATTCCTCGGTATTTGGATTAAAAGTGAAAACATGCTTGGTATTGACGTTATAGGGGGTTGACATGCTACAAACATGGTATTTAACGTAGGGATGAGAGTATTTTTGTACACACCGATACGATGAGGTATAGATATGTTTTATATTCGATGATAGGTTCCTTGCTTACATATTCAATAACATTCGAATTGGTCAGCCAAGTACATTCGTTATGTTAGTGGTTTGGCAATATTTGACAGGATTTGCATTACATAAGGTTTTGATGTTTCAACGTTGGTATCGACTTATATCAATCTTCAAGATGCGCAATAGCCGAAATGCCTGTCTACTAGTACCTAGATGGCTCGAATAGAGCTTTTTTGCGTATCTTGGTGTTGTGATATAACAAGTATTACTTGTATATATCCTGGATTGAATCTGACATGTGCACCCGGGCAGTCTTGAGGCGTATATTGATAAGATATATAAATATATATATATAGACACCTACCGGCATATGAGGTTAACCGCCAACTTGAGAAACGCCTCAAATGAGGCAAAATTAACGGCTATGGGTAGCCTTGATCTTGCAAAACCACAGCATATTAACAGAATCGTGTGCAGGAAGACGTATGGGTGTAAGCAGACATCATGGACTGACAACTGTTACATATGTAGAGTTTCCGTTTGCGGTAATTCCAGGATGTGTGTCGTTTAGCCCTAAGACTCCAGAGCCTGCATTTGTTCACCATACACCAAATGACAAAAGGACTAGGGACATGCGAATAGAGAATAAATTCTGTGAGAATAAATAGATTTTCATTATATATATATACACGATTAACACAATCGTCTATAAAGATGTCTCCGATGGCCGCTCATACTGCGAATAAACATTTATCCTGTCAAAAATATATCCCAAAATCAACGCACAACAAACCCACGAAAAACTCAAATCAAATTGTAAAAGATTCATTCCACCAGCTTAAACTCTGGCTCAAAACATCGCCCATCGCTAACGCACGTAGAAGAAAGGTTAAAAAGCACGTTTTAACCGAACCATGGTAACAACCATTTCTAGAAGGACATTAAAAATCTGGTTCAATTGGAGAATCGAGATTGAAAGGCTATTTTCTAACGTTCGGCACTGGCCCAGCACTCTGTGTGTAAGTTTATCCAAGATTCTGGAGAAGAGAAAAATTCACGCACACCCCATTGTCCGGTGTACGAGTACAGTTATCCCTTGCTCAGGTAATGTTGCATCACATCGCATCGCATCGCATCGTTT